TTCGTTACATAAAGAAAGAGGAAAACAACTTAAGGACGACAGCAACAATATGTTTTAAGAAGGATGTCTGAGAAAAGTGTATAAAATGTGTGGTGAGGGATTTTACAGCCTTAAAACAGATATAATAATTGTAAAAAATAAAGCCGTCTCGCCCATTGTGGGTTATTTTTAGAACATAACCCCCCACGATAAAAGAGGGACCACTATATAGGACTTCAATCCAATGATTCAATTTATTAGAAATCCCTTTGACTTGGTTCTCCGCAAACACCACGTGATAAGACGAGCAAACAACAACATTAAACAACACATTTTTTGCAGTATTCATTTTCTATTTTCACTCCGCATCAACTGCCTTTTACAATTGGCCCTGCGATGCCACTATTCTCGCATCTATTTGCATGATCTTGTTTTGATGTGGGAGCGTGTCAGCCGGCAGAAAGCAAGCTCGCCCGGTATTCAAAATAGTTATAGCTAATCAGTAACAGTGCGGTGAAATGAACCATACGCTGAAATGGAATAGTCTGTCTCCCCCTCAAGTGCCAATGAAGTGAAGATACCAAGACAGGCCAAATAAAGTATAGTATGTCCAATTACAATTCTGAGATCAACCCTAGCAACAGCCATGGTAGTAATGAGAATTCAGCTTTTTCTATCACCAATAACAAGCAGAGAATTATTGCTAGAGGGCTTGGAGCAGAGGAATTATCAGTACAAGACAGGTTGGGTAATTTTTGTTTTCTTTTTTTTTTGCTTTTTTGTGGTTGGAAAATTGCAAAACAAAAATGTAAAGAGGCAATTTGCTGAAAGTATAAAAAAGTGGTGAAGCAGAGCATTAAGGGTTTGTACCATAGACTGTAAAAGAAGTAGACGTAGGAGTGTAGCATCAACCGTAGTGATACGCTCCAGTCAAATGAAGCTCACCAAGGCTGGCAGACAAATTTGGAGTCCGGATTCAGAATAGGAATTGATTTACCGACAAAAAAGTGAAATAAAAACACCTGGATCATGTAGAGAGGGTTTGGAATTTTGGTCATAGAGTCTCATTTCCTAGTGTTGGAGACAGTTTTTTAAAGACCTGATGAAGACCAGTTAAGGTCGAAACATGTTGGCTTTGGCCATTCAAAAAAAGGCCTTTTAACTACATTTTTCCTCGTGCGATTTTTTACTTTTTCTACTTCTTTGGAGCGCCTGGAGTCTGTTGTGTTTTAGTTCTGATCCTTTTTCCAAAAGCACCATCTACCTGCTCCCACTGATTGGAAAACCTGCAGCAAACAGTCACATTTTTGTTCTTTCTACACTTTTTAAAATATTCCATCCAGTCCTTGTTTTTGCAGAGGTCGCTGGTGCTAGGCTAGTGCATGTCAATGGCCATAGTTAGCGTGACACTAAAAACAGTCTTACCCACTCCACAAAACACCCGAAGCAAAACTATTATTACACCAGACTGTCCATGTGAATGTCTGTGTTGATAGAATAATGTTTGAAATAAAATTAACCTTGCATCGCCTGAATCATTTTTACCAGTTGAAAGGGGAGGCCTTTAATGTGTTTCCCTTGTTGTTTGTCTTAAACTGGAAATAAATCTCGGAAACTCAGCTCTGGTCATGGACATTGATTTGTTTTTTGTCACTGTGTAAACCACATACCCATGGTACCCAAAAGTGATTATTTGAGTTATGTTTAGTTCTGAGTTTGCTCACACCTTTTGTTTGTTACTTTTCTTTGACAAATAGTCACTACATTGAGGGACTATTTTCTCATATATCAGTCCGCCTCTTCCAAGCTTTCAATCACGAAGTACAACTCGCTGCTGCTCCTTAGATATAAATCCTTCAAATGCAAAGTTAGTTTTACTGTTAAAATTATTTTATCAACACAGACATTTACATCGACAGTCTGGTGTAATAATAGATTTGCTTCGGGTGTTTTGTGGAGTGGGTAAGACTGTTTTTAGTGGCAGGATAACTATGGCCATTGACATGCACTAGCCTAGCACCAGCGACCTCTGCAAATACAAGGACTGGATGGAATCTTTTTTAAAAAGTGTCTCCACACGTCTCCAACACTCTGGCTCACTAGGAAATGTCCCTTTAAAACAAACACTTTAAGACCAAGACGGCGAGCCTGACAGCAGCAGCTATGGAGAAAGTGGCAACAATTTTCCAATAGAAAGTGAAATGGAGCTAGAGTCAATGGAGCCAGAAGTGTCATCATGCTCACTTCCTATTTGGAACAGATCGCCCAGCAGGCTAACTATGTCCATTTGTATATACAGTCCATGATCTGTACCTTTTTGTTTGCTTTTTTAAAGTCAAATTAAGTCTGCTAGTCTGCTACTACTAGTACAGCAGTTTATCTTATCAGCCAGAAACATGCAAAACACGAGACTAACTCAGCTCAACAATTGAACCTACAACCTTTTAGCTCTGAGTCAGTCCTGCTTATCACTGCACCACCAGCAACAATAACCAAGCTTTTTTTTTTTTTTTATCTGTTACTGTGTGAACTGTAGCCAAAATATGATTTCATTTGGTTTCCACAAAATTAAATTTCGCTTGAGAACGCGCAGCCAGGACTGTTTTTTTCAAAGCAAAAAACATTTATTCATATTGGAACAGTCATTTTAAAAACACCCCCAACGCACGTACTGTTTTCTATGCCAGTAGTTACAGACATATCAGTTTTGCCAAATGAATAAACAGTCCATTGTATACTCATTTAATTTAGTCTATAAATATCTATATAATGCTTCTATATGACGCTAAATTAACTCTTGTGAGCTTTAAGTGAAGTTATAATGTTGTTACTTCATCAAAAACTAACCTGGAGTTGTGTTTGGTTTCATTCACACATGTTTGAGTAAATCTTTATTATTAGTCTGTCTACATTTCTGAAGCTCAAAATGCTCCGTTAGACTTTGTGATGTCATGAAGTGGTAGTTTTCAAGTTAAGAGCTTCATTGTACATTTTGCCTAGTAGAGAGTAGTAGAGGAAAGTTCAGGGCTGAAATATGTTTTCCGTTTGAGAGAAGAGCTCAGGCTAATATGCAGGGTTTGTGTGTTAAATGTGTGAAAAAAACAAAACACAATGCAGGTATGTTGTGATGAAGAAACATTGTAACACAGATCAAAAAATAGTAGACAAATATAGTTAATTAACTAATTTCCCAAACTTTATTTCTGGGGACCCATATTTTAAAAGTCCCAACCCAAGTCAATATAGACATTATTTGTAAATCACAAAATAAAAGTGGATTTGATCATTATTGAACATTAATGAGGATATTTTATTGTTGACTGAGTGATCGTGTCTCTCTGAACAATTAGTATTACTCAAGTTTTAAACAATGAAAAACAGTCTTTGAAGCAGCACCGATTTGGACATTAAATGTAGCCCATATCTTTTCTTTTCAACATTCAATTTAACCAGCAATAGTGGAACAAAAGAGTGAATAAAATAATTATTAAAAGATTAGAAATTATACAAAACATGACTTAACATTTCAACATGTGTCAGAACTGTATATCGCAGACATACATGCAGATCGTGACAAGCCTGATTCGATTTCTACAACGTGAAACCAGCTGACCTCGAAGCGTTGGAATTCGTTTGCTCAACGGTAGGCGGGTACTTTTTTCATTTAACCACTCGCTGCTATTTGGTCGTCATGTATGTAATGCACCACTAACAGAGCTAACTGGTATATTAAGTTTTTCCCAAATCCCGTAGGAAGAAGGACAATAATGTCTTTCCCCTTGATGAAATTCACTAAACATTCACTTTATTCTGGCTTTTAAATCCTCGATCTCAGGAATCGTTGACAACACTGAATATATGGCTCGTTGCTGATTGGCTGGTGCCCGAACTTGCACTTCCGGGGTTTTTGCGAACAGTCTAGTGTATTCTGATTCCTGACCTAGTCGCTGGAGAGAAATTAATCTGAGCGGAGGCACTAAGTGGCGCCCCAAGATCGTGAAAAGACGACCCAAAAAAAAAATCTCTCCCTCCACCTGAGGGTCACGATCCAGTCTTTGGGAAACGATAACATTATGTAAAAAAAAAAAAAAAGTGTGTGTTCTTCTTTCTGGAGATATTGTTTTGCCGGGTGAGGGTTCGTTTCTCTGTTTGGAATTAAACTGATCGACTTGCTTTTAGTACATGGGTGTTGATTATTTAAAAAAAAAAAAAAAATTGCAGTCTTACAATGAGTGTGGTTTCTTCTCCACAGTTCTGACCTGTGATTGGTGACATTATCTGCCTGTCTCCATGGCAATAGTTGAGGTTTATGCCATACTTACATTATTATATTTACATAATACATAATAAACAATTTCCATCTTCCAGTTAGACCTACTTGTCAGATTCAGTTCTTACTGTAACTCATTAACGACAAACATTTTTGCAGAACTAAAAACCTCTAGGCCACAGAGTTGAACGTGTTCTCTCTTCAGTACTACCATCACAAGTTTTCAGCGCGCTACTGTTTACCAGCCTGTCAACCACAACCCAGGCAGGATGAGTACCCTCACCCTCCCCAGTGGCTAAAATTAGGAACAGGCGGTGCCCCCCAGTCCCCTTCCTGCCCAGCACTGCACCATAATCCAACCACCCATTGCACATTTCTGGTGATAATCAATACGCAGACCCCCACGTTGGCGTAACTGCGTAAAAAGCCCACCAGCGAGATGCCACTGACTGCTGTGTTCTACTAATTAGAGGGATGATTCGCAACAGTCATAACACCAGTCCAATTACGGCGATGCGTTTGACACTTACTGTGCAAAACTCGCTGGAGGTGACACGTTTCGTTCCAACGCAGAGCACATGGACGGTTCACTAACTAGCTTTCATTGCCGATGCTGTAACTCGCGTGTCGACACTCTTTCAATTGCATTCTAACGGAATTATGTGTCGCAATGCACGTTTGACAGCGGCAGTTCTCAACAAGCCCGTGCGTAAAAATGCATCTGGCGATAGAAGCAAGCAAACTGTCTTACCTTTTTAGAATAAATCCATCGTTTGATCCAGTAGTTTACGATGTTGAAGCTTGGAGAAGGTTTAAAAACGTGCCTGCTGCAACACAAAGCGTGAAAAACTTCTCTATGTGTAAAATCAGCGAGTAGCGAGCAACAGCGTGACTACTTGTTGCTATTTCGCGCTGTATTCAAGCTTTAAAAAAAAGTGAAAAGAGGAAGGCACTCGCACTCGAAGTTGCGGTTGCACTGTAGTCTATAGAAGGCAGAGTTCAGAGTAGAGTGAGAGGAGAGCAGCTGGAGCGCAGTGCCTCGCCGTGCGCCGTCTGTTCCAGTTGTGCGTAAAGAGGTCCGCCTATTGGTGTACAGTGCCACAGCAGCGTTGCAACAGGCAGGACTGTGGGGATGCAAGGCTCGATTTATGCGCCATTACGCACGGGTTGCTTAACAACTTGGAGGAGATGACAGCGAGTGGAAATAAATTTATAGTAAAGCTGTTTTTATATTGTTTGAAGCAGCATATTTGTGTGAAGCAGGCGATTTGAAAACGTTTACGCACCCATAATTTGTCCGTGATGATACACAGACAAAAGGGGAAAAAAAGATATTTTTAAGTCCACACGTGCTAATTTTCTAGGTGCATTCACGTGGATTGGACAAAAATATAAAGTTGTCATTTTATTTATATATATTTTTTTAAAGTATGAAGTTGTTTGTAGTTATAGGATCTGCCTCTCGTTGTCCTTAATTGAGTTGTGCAGATTTATCGATATTACTGTATGCAAGCAACATGCAATAAAATCGGTCTAGACTTAATTTTCATACATTTATTTAAGCATTGTTATTTATTATTATTATTATTATTATTATTATTATTATTATTATTATTATTATAATAATAATAATAATAATAATAATAATAATAATAATAATAATAATAACTTAAAAAAAATTGGTGTTTCATTTCTGGATTTTCCCAGTTGTTGCTCACGCGTCACAATATTGTCCACGCCCACCCGGAAGAAAAACACAAACCGAAATTAGAGCATGGATCTATGAAGTAGAGAGTAAGTATTCAAGACTTCTGTAGGTAAGTAAAAATATTTTCATACACGTAAAAAGTATTTGTTTTACATTGTTAAGGGGGCTGCCATTATTGTTAGAAAACTCTTTAGGCTTTACTTCTAACTCTGGAATAGGACATAGTGTACTAACTACTAACTACTAGGTTAGGCTACTACTACTACTACTACTACTTCTACTACTACTGCTACTACTAAGTAATGGTTGCAGTAATACTTCGTACAACTATTATTACTACTATTAGGCTACTACTGCACTACTACAACTACTATCTCCACAACAACAACTACTACTGCCTCTACTAATACTTCTACTACTGCTTCATACTACTACTACTACTACTACTACTACTACAAATGCTACTTCTATAACTACTTCTACAACCAAGGAGTGGTTGTACTAATACTGTGTACAACTATTATTACTACTACTAAACTACTACAACTACTAATATCTCTACTAATACTTCTACTACTGCTTCATACCACTATTACTAATAGTACTACTAATACTACTACTACTTCTACGACAACTACTACTGCTACAGCTACTTCTACAATCAAGTACCGGTTGTACTAATACTGCGTACAACTATTAATACTACTACTAGGCTACTACTACACTACAACTACTATTTCTACAACAATAACTACTACAGCTATTACTACCTTTACTTAATACTTCTACTACTGCTGCATACTACTACTACTAGTACTACTACTACTTATACGAGAATTACTACTGCTACTACTACAACGATTACTACTTCTACAACCAAGTAGTCGTTGTACTAATACTGCATACAACTATTGTTACAACTACTACTACTACGCTACTACAACTACTATTTCTAATACAGCGACTACTACCTCTACTAATACTTCTACAGTAAAAACTATTACAACTATTACTACCCCTACTAATACTTACTAGCAATATTAAACTACTATGACTGCACTAATATAAACACTAATGTCTACTTTTTTCCCCAAATATATAGTTGCAGAGCGGGCCTTTCCAAGTGCACAATTAAAACAAGCATATCTTTTATAATACATTGTTAAAACAAGATATTACTTGTACTTAGACCCTGGGAATGCTGTGGTGTTGCAATCCCTGGCTAGCGTAATTTCCTCCTTTTTCAGGGAATTCCCAGCGAGTCATTCAACAAGGGGTAGAGGAGCAGAGCCAAAGCAGCTGTTGTGGGGGTGACCGGACTGAGATGGACAGCCAGGAGGTGGGGGTGCTGCTGCAAGAATGTCTGGAAGAAGCAGAGATCCAGAGAGATAAAAAAGAAGAACTAAAACCAACAGAGGAGCAGAGACAGGCTTACGGCAACTGCAGAGGTAGGACACTAGAGGGAGCTGTTGTCTATGCAACTGAGTAATACAGTCACAAGCCTTTGCGACCCAAGTTAATAGACATTATTTATAAATCACAAAGTAAAGGTGAGCATTATTGAACAATAATGACGATATTTTATCGCTGACTGAGTGATCGTGTCTCTCTGAACAATTAGTGTTGCTCAAGTTTTAAACAATGAAAACAATAATCGAAGTAGCAATAAAAGGATCCATAAGTCGCCTATTTGGACATTAATTGTAGCCCATTTCTTTTTCTTTTCAACATTCAATTGAACCAGCAATACTGGAACAAAATAGTCAATAAAATAATTCCAAAAAGATTAGAAAAGATACAAAACATGTCTTAACATTTCAACATTTCTAAAGAGATAGGTGGGCCCATCTGCGTTTTTGTAGCGTGTTCAGTCCGTGTGCAGGAGGAGAGCGCAGCAGAAGATCAGGCGCAGCATTCAGTCTGTTTCTGTGCTTTGCCTTCATTTTTGTGAGCACAGAAAATCCCAATTCGCACAAATATGTAGTAATGAAAAGAATAAGCATAGAAATACTGGCCCTACTGAGGACAGGATATTCTGACAAAATGTTGATCCAGAATGACGTTAAGGTCACAGATCTATGTATACAGCTGTATATTGCAGAGGTACAAGGCGACCCAAAAAAAATCTCTTGCAACCCACCTGAGGGTCACAACCCAGTCTTTGGGAAACAGTGGAGTAAAGTATAATTCTATTGGTAGTTTTAAGATTCAAGAAAGTGATAATGTCATTCTCCCATTGATTGTGTTGTACTTTGCTTTTAAATATCCAAAAGGTAAATTAACAAATGCTGAATCTGATTATTTTGATTCATGACTAAACCCAAGAACTAACTATATCACAACAAAAATCTGCATTTCAGCAATATTAATTTTAGCTGCCCCCTTCTGTATTAATTAATGTTGGCTTACAGAAAGTTTTAAACCAAGCCATAAACGAATGCACGATCCAGAAACTGTATTTAGAAAAATTATACAACACTTTCACAGGTTTATTTACAATTTAATACAAAGTAACCTTTATATAGTATTTATGATCTCACAACAAATAAACAATAAATATATCTAGGCCTGTAATGAAAACAGATTTTGCTGGACGATTCATTGACCAAGAAATTATTGTGATAAATGATAATAGTGACATTTTGAAACCATTTTCAACTAATATCATGACAATGGAATAAAAAAGCAAATAGACCCTTTCAAAGATCAATAAACTTTCATTTCTAAAGAACATTTAACACAGGAACTGAAAGACAACCAAAAACAATAGGCCTAAATAAAATAGACTTGTTACATAAGAATAATAGCCTAATGTAGTCTGGTTTACAGCGAGGACTTGTTAACAAAATGCACTTGAATAAACCATTGCTGAACCAAATACAACCAAAACAATACATACAATGGATTATTAAATCTCTGTAACAAAATTACACTTAATAGTTGTTTTAGTCATTGAGTTCCATTGGAATATTGTGGCTTCTCTCTCTGTGGCTGCTGCTGTGAGCCTTGGCATTTTGGTCTTTAAGTGTTTGCATTAACTAATTAAAAGCCATATGTGTATACATATATATGCATTTGTCTGTATATTTATGCATACAACAGGTAAGCACTTCAAAGGCAAAAAAAAAAATTGTCAACCATTTGATTATGTAAAACAACTGGGGTTGGACATTATACCTTTTTTTTTTTTTTTAAACTTCATCCTACTCCTTTTGAGCACCAGGTCCCAAATATGTACATGTGCATATCCTTGTTTTTGTTTTGTTTTTTGTTAGTGTTGTTGATTTTGTTTTACCTTGCTCAAATAAATAATAATATATATATTTTTTTTATTACGTGATCCATTTAAAAGGCGAGTGGCTGTGTTCTGCACTAACTGTAGGCGGGAGAGTGAGGTTTTACTGAGACCAAGTTACAATAAAGCAAGTTACAATAATATAAACGAGAGGTAATAAAAGCATGGATTAAAATTTTAAAGTTGTAACAAGATAAAATTGGTTTCACTCTGCCCAGTTGCCTCATCTGAAAAAACCTGGTCTTCACCACAATGTAGCCTATAAACATGAATTATCTGTGTCCATTTTCACAACATTTCAATTAACAATTCTCATGTCAGCTGCTGCTCCATTTATGATTAGACATTTACCTATTTAGAAAGCAGAATGAGCCTCACATGAGTCACTTATTTGCGTTGCCAGTTTCAAGGCTGAAGGTTTAAATCTAAAACAACTCTCTGATCTGAATGTGTAGGTTCAGTTGTACAGTTCCTTTAAAGGGCCCATCTCATGCAAAATCAACTTTTCAGAGCTTTCTACCTTCTAAGAGTGATATGTGGGCCTTGTATATGTTGCCGAAGTGGTTTTTAGATTGATTCAGCATTTTTTAAAACAAATTGCAGCGTATTTCTGCCACCCTCCCACGTGACAACAAACTAAAGATACACAGATACACCTATGACGCATTTGACGTAGCAGAAAGCGCTTCGCACCCGCTCCTCCAGTGTACACCATATAATAAGTTTATCTACTATTGTTTATTAATACTTTACCAATCAGTAATGTTCAGCTGATGTCGACACGGTGCTTGAGCTTCATGCACCTCAAACTCCTCGTCCGATTCCGGGTCCAACACATGCGGCTGAACGCGCTGTATCACCATGATGAATAAAAGTTTATTCCTACCGCTATCAGACCGCTAAATGGGGTGTGTGGTTGGCTGAGATGGGTGGTGGAAGGGCGTCATGTTTGGAGGGCGGAGCCTGTGTTTTCTCAGGACGGGCGGGGGGATGAGCAATAGTCGGTCTTTCATAGTTTCTGGTCTGTGACTGTCTCCAAGAAATCAGTAAGATTTCATAACTATTGTGTAATGGATGTTCCAAAACCCAAATTGTGCTTGTATATGTGCAGAAGATACAACGTGAAAAGAGTTATTTTGCATGAGATGGGCCCTTAAGAAACAAAATGTTCCTCTTTAAATGTAATAACATTTTTGTTTGATAATGTTTACCTATAATAAGGTGTTATACTCAATGCCACTGTCTTATTGTCAAAGCTACCAGCATTTCTGCATACATTTTTGTGTGATAATTCTCATGTGTTTGTTATTATTTATAGATGCTCTGTGCCTGGAGCTGTCCTCTCTCCTCCAGGAGGCAGAGCAGATGCAGTGGCCCTTTGCCCCAGAGAAGTGGCAGTTTAAGCAGTCAGTGGAGGCCAGCGATAAGACCAACCTGAGCGACCTCATCAAGAAGAACCTGCACCCACTACTGGTAACAACTCTTTACACTGTACATATGAAAACAATTCTAATTTATATATTTATTTTAATAGGCTCGGTTTACGTCACAACATTGTATATTCCCTATAGTTTAAAATTATATGATGAAGTTTGCTGTTTAACAGTGAAACTACAGACTTGTTGAGCTGGTTTATGGTTAGTATCGCTGTAATTACTTGGCCTATCCTCATGGAACTGTTCCAAACTTTATATTGAATTCTTTTTTCACTATACATTCAGAAAGTGGGGCCATTATTCAACCCCAGAAGTGTGATTGTTGCCAGTGGAAAGTGGAATAACACCAATATGGCAAATTTTGGACACGATCCCAAATAAATAATGAATACATAATGATGAGTTTTATTAATACGTTTGGATATTTCTTCCAAAAACTGTAAATCTCCGATAGAGTTGTATAAGCCCCATGCCCTCCTTTTGAAATTATGACCTACAGGTTTCCCACAGTCATGGAAATCCAGGAAAAGTCAAGGAAATTAAAATGTAATTTTACAAGCCTGGAAAAGTCATGAAATTTTGTAAATTCAATGAAAGTTTTAGAAAAGTCATGGAATTTTATTATCTCTTTCAGCATTCCGTTAAGTTCTCATTAGGTTATTATGATTATTTCCAAACATATGCGGCAGTATTTTGAATGTTAAAAAACTAGTATCAAACCATAAGGTGATTGGAAAGAGTTAACATTTCATATTTAGCCCTAAAAGTCTGATCAGTTCTATACATGTAGGTGCCTTAAAGTCATGGAAAATTCACTTTAGGTCATGAAAAAGTCATGGAGAAGTTTTGAAATATGGTCACTGAAAAAAGTAGGAACCCTGAACCTAACAATTGTGTTCTAGGGTCTCCTCAAAGCCTCCATCCAGTCCCAGGAGCCGGTGTGTGCTCTGGCTGTGGTTTTCTTAGTGGACCGCTTCCTTTATTGGACCGATGAATCCAGCCGACTGCTCAAGATCACCAAACTACTTCACAAACTGCACCCCGAGGCCCCTGTGGCACCCCAGCTCGTCATCCGGCAAGCCCGCGTCTACCTCAACTCTGGTACTCTACAAAAATACCGTTACATAGTCCATGCAGAATTTTAAGTTGTAATCTAACTCATCATCATTGGCAATGTACAGAATTAAAGGCCCTGCACCTGATTTTACCATGTATTTGCACCATAAAAAGACACTAAAATCAGGTGCAGCGCCTTTAAGATTTACAATAGACATGTATATGAAAATAATTATTGTTTTGAAGAAATAATTTATGCAAGTACGGTCTTTGTTCTTGTAGGGAAGCTGCAGAAGGCTGAATACATCCTCAGCAGCCTTATCAACAACAGTGGAACTACAGGTAGGTCCTAAAATATATACAACTAATCTAATCTTTATTTGCACTCATAGGCAAAACAAAAAAAGTCATTAAGTAAATGTTGTAATGCAGGTTGCTGGCAGTATCAGAGCGATAGTGACCGAGCACTGGTGCAGGCAGTCAGTGTGCAAGTGAGAGGGATGATTCTGCAAAAACTTGGTAAGGTTTTCATTGTGTTGTTTGCGTATTAGCCATTTAATATTATTATGTATTTAACCATACTGAAGTCAAACTTCCTTTGCCTAAAATGACAAAAACAAAACATATTTGTACTTAAAGCCTTCTTATGATGTTTCTTAGATTTTTGATATTCATTCGGTTATTTCATATTCATTCGGATATTCAGCCGGTTTCACTTCGTAGAAACCGTCTGATCTCGCAGCATTAGGATTCGTTCGCTCGACAGTAGGCAGGTACTTTTTTTTTTAACCAATTGTTGCTATTTGGTCGTGACGTATGTAATGCGCTGTTATTGGGCCGTTAATATTAAGCTTTTCCCAAATCCCATAGGAAGAAGGGCAATAACGTCTTTCCCCTTGATAAAATTCACCAAACATTCTCTTTGTTTCGGCTTTAAATTCTCGATCTCGGGAATCGTTGCCGACACAGAATGTATGGCTTCGCCTACATCCATCTCAACCGCTTTGTTTACTGTTGTGCTGTACCACAAAAGGGACCCAGACAGGCGCTTGAGTTTGACGTCATGGCTTCGCGGCTCTTCGCTGATTTGCCGGTGTGTGATCTACAACTTCAGGGGTTCTTGCAAACCGTCTAGTGTATTTCGACCTAGTCACTGGAGAGAAATTAAATTGAGCGGAGGCACTAGGTGGTGCCAGCCCGGGTAACTTGTACACACTCTTATCATGCAAACATTTTAATTCCTACATGGTAAGTTATATATTTAAAATAAATATACTTTATGTATGAATAATATTTTACAGGAAGTGAATCTGGACAAAACAGGTTACACAAATTTGACGTCTATATAAAGTAGTCAATAGTAAAGTTTGGGGCTCACTGACACTGCCCTTTTGTGAAATATGTCTTTTACTATAATGAAAGTTTTAACCATTTACTACATTTTCAGTAATATAAATGTTTCTTTGTTTGTTTTGTTTACCTTGTTAAAGGCTTGTGGCTGGAGGCTGCAGAACTGATATGGGCTTCAGTGGTTGGATACTATGCTCTTCCTAAACCTGATAAAAAGGTTAACAGTGTTTACTTTAAACAGTATTGTAGCTCTGTAGATGAATAACTTTTCTTTTTGTTACTTTTTTCAGGGCATAGGGACTTCCCTTGGTTTACTGGCTAATATTTTAGTATCTATGAATGATGAGGACTTCAGTGCTTTCAAGGATACTCCTGACATAGACCTGGTATGTAACAGATCATAATATGACATAGTACAATTATATGTTTTTATAATTTTTAACAAATATTTTGTCTTTTTTTTTTCATGCAGTCTTTGCTTGGAGAAAGCAGCCACCGCCTCCTGTCCGCAGCCCAAGCAGCGAAGATGGCAGTGGTCTACAGTCAGTACACGTCGCTCTACGTGCTGACAAATGTGGTGTGTTTTATTTGATTTATTTCAAGACTTACAACAAAATCATCCAGACCTGGTTATGAAGATGGCATTTAGAATATTCTCAATCTACAAACATATCCACTGTTGATTTTATCCTCAAACTAGGTAATCCAGAAAGGTTGCCCCAACATCAGAATGGGCCCAAAACTGTAGACCAGCCATGTCCAAACTTGGGCCCAGGAGCCAAATACAGCCAGTTGGCCCTCTATTTTCCTGTTGAATTAGCACAAATTACCACAAGTAGTTTGCCTGAGCTCCACATTTCTTCACTACTTTTACAAAATGTGAGTCTGGTCATCGGTAAATCTCCCAGAATTTAGATAAGTGCGATTGAAAGGTAGATTAACCAATCAGGGACACGAATGACATGGATGATGGATAGATTGATACTACTTGAATCCATGTATCATTCGTTCATGTGTTTTTCAATATAAAACCAAAAATAAGAAAATGGAAAAACAACTATTTTCTTCATTATTTGTCTCCAAAACCAAAATGAAAAAACAGATAACGATTTGTTTTTTTTGTTTTTTTCAGTTTTCAATATTGTGTTTAAATGAACGGCCGTTTCCCATTTACGTGACTTAAACTGCGATGCCTGACAGAACCAGGACTAAACCAGGACTAAACCAGGACTAAACCACTTTCAGTTCTGGTCTGGTCCCAGTCTCAGTCCTGGTCTGGTCCCGGTCTGGTCCCAGCCCCAGTCTCAGTCATAGTCTGGTCCTGGTCTGTTCCCGGCCTCAGTCCTGGTCTCTATCCCGGTCTGGTTTCTGTCTGGTCCCGGACCTCGTTTAGTTCTGGTTTAGTCCTGGTTCAGTCCTGATTCATCGCAGTTTAAGGCATGTGAAGGGGCTGTAATCCATTTTTTCCATTATTCATGTAAACACAAAATCAAAATCTGAAAAAACAAATCGTTATCCATTTTTTCATTTTCGTTTTGGAGACAAATAATGAAGAAAATAGTTTTTTTTTGTTTTTTTTTGCTTTTCCTATTTTTGGTTTTATATTGAAAAAAAGAATGAACAAATGATACACAGATTTACTTGAATGATAACTGTACTGTCCACCCGTTCATGGATGAAAAAACTCCTGTAAAAAATAAAGCTGTTTTTTGTGTCTGTTGAACTCAATCTAAGTTGCAATTTGACTTTATTTTCTAGGTTTCTCAGGGCACATCTCTGCTCTCTTATAGCTTCTCCATCGACTGCCCCTCCTCCCTGTGCCGCTCCTACCTCCTCCAAGCTCAAGAGGCATTTGAAATCGGCCTCCTCACCAAATCCTCCACCGAAACTGTCACAAGCATCCAAGAGCTCCACACGTTCCTCAAATCTGCCTACTCTCTCGCTATAACCAAAAAATGGCTTGGCGCTAACCCTTCGATCGTCAACCAAGCTAAACAAGCCTGTCAGAAAGCCCTAGGACTTTTCTACGACTACTGCAACGCCCAAAACCAAGAGAAAGATGCGTTATGTTCTGATATTATGAAACTCATTGGCAAAGTTAAAGATTTGCTCCAAGTCGCGGCATTTGAAAATTCTGACAAGCTGTCATTTATTCCGGATAGTTACAAAAATATCCAAGAAAAAACAGTTGATTTTAATTTGGAGAAGTTTTCTAAAATGATTCTGAAGTTCAAAAAGTTTCACGCGACGTTATCCGAAATGGATCGGAGTTGCAAAAGCGTTAAAGGTGAACAAACTAAGTATTGCATAACAGCTTTTGGGACGACAGTGGGAAATCTTAATCCAGAATGCAGCACCCAAAGTAACCTACATGACACAAACACGTCTTCTAGTGATGATCTTGGTTCGTCTTGGAACAAAATCTCTTTCAGCAATTCTCTAAGATCTGGAAGTTCTGGAAGCGCAACAGCGGCTCGGATCCAAAGTTTGACGAAAACAGATCATGATCAAAATCCCTCCAGTTTTAACGTCGAAAATTTGGCGAAATCCTTAACTTCTTCCAGCGCTAGTTCCCAATCTTGGAGCTTCCAACTCCAAGCTGCTTTAGAAACAGTTGATACCGACAGTGATTTAGAAAAAGTAGTTCAGTCTTTAAGCGATAGTTATGGTTCAACTTCGTCTTGGGAAAAGCTCTCACCCTTTCCGAGAAGCAAGCCCATGCTATCTAAAGTCGGCAGCAAGTCTTCAGAATCCAGCGATAGCATATTTCATTTAGAAACACTTGACTCAGAAACGCCAGATCCTTTAAATGCCAGTAGCAACAACGGAAATCCAAATATGGCCAATGGAAATGCTGTTGTCAGCTCAAAACCGAATTTGATCGAAGCTGCAAACCAGTGTGCGTCAACTGAACCATCTACGGACAGCTCTTTTGAAATTTTGGAACAAGTAAAGATTGAAAACCAAGAGGAAAAGAAAGAGCATAGAGATGATCCAAAGGAGGAGAAGAATGCTCAGTGTCACAGTTGCTTGAATGGGAGTTTTGGGAGCTCTTCAGAAGGCCAGTATGTTTTGACGGAGCAGGATTACAACGCCTTACTTGGGGGAGTATGTCACCCTTGTTTGCTCAAAAGACTCAACAGTGACACAACTTTTAAGCTAAAGGAACACAGAATGGCTTACGGTAAGTCTGTCATTACTTCCCAAGTTACCTTAGGTGTTACAGCTCACAAAAATAAACTTGGTTGCTTTCTACGTAGTTGAACGTCCAAAGAAAATCGGATTGCTAAATCTGGGAATGAACTGGACCTGTCTTGTATTCTCAGTAAACCATTAAAGAGCAATATAGGAATGACAGGGTTGGTACAAGATCTCATGCCACAAGATCTCGCGAGACAAAATTGCCACAAGCTCGTGCGCACAAGAGAAAAATGACCTTTTGAGATTTTTTTTCCATGTGTTTACATTTAGACTGGAAGAAAAGGGTTACGTGTTGGTGAGTTACATTAGCCTGATTCATCAGCCAGTTTCACTTAGTGCAAACTGTCTGACCTCGCAGCGTTAGAATTCGTTCCCTCGATGGTAGGTGGGTACTTTTTTTCATTTAACCAATCGCTGCTATTTGGTCATGAAATCCCGTAGGAAGAAGGACAATAACGTCTTTCCCCTTGATAAAATGCACAGAACATTCTCTTTGTTCCGGCTTTAAATCCTCAATCTCGGGCATCATTGCCAACACAGAATGTATGGCTCTTCGCTGATTGGCTGGTGCCCGAACTTGCGAACCATTTAGGGTATTCCTATTCCTGACCTAGTCGAGGCACTAGGTGGCGCCAGCCTGGCTAGAGTTACATCTTTTACAAGCCGTATTAGAATGGAAACAAAACAACAAAATAACATAAATTTAAAAAAATTGTGAGGCCAAAATTGGAAACTGAACCGTGAAATGTAAAAATGTTATTAGGAATTATGTTAAAATCTCATCTTGTCTCGTTCTTGTGGACCCAATCTCGTATCTCATCTCGTCTTGTGGTCATTTTGTCTCGTCCCATCCCCAAAGAATGATTTTAGTTAGTGAGTTATTAAACACATTCTTTGCAAGATTTTAAGTCTATACCAGTGTTCTTTCAGCAAAGCAAAGCCTATTATTTTTGTCAAGTTTAGTAGCTGTCAAAACCTGCAGATTATTAAACATTTAAGTTGTTCACAGTGGTTACTTGACAATGTATTGAACGTTTTATGAATTTCTTAGCTGGTCTGCATCTGAAGTTCTCCAAAACCACTGGACTCTGGACGGCTCGGGAGACATGTGTTTACATCGGAGAGGACATGCATCTGACAGGGAAGCAGAGAGCGGCATTGTGGGTGCAGTTCTTACACCAGGAGGAGCGGTTAAGCAGGTGGGGGTTACTTAATGACAATACAGTATGTCAATGATTGGAGTAACTTTGACTGACTTTGTGTATTTTTCCCATTTCAAACAACAACATTTGCCAGTGGGATATACTGGTAGATATCTCAAGGTTGAAATGAAGATTTAGCTTAATTCACACAATCAGGCTTTTTTCATTAATTAGTTAATCCAAAGTCATCTTCTTCTAGCACTCAAAAAATGCTCACATTTTGCCTCGATTGTTGCATCACAGGTAAAAATCCTGACTTATTCTACCATCAAATTATATTCACTAACACATGGTTCTGCTTTGCACGTGGCCTCAGGGTTTCATTTGTTTATTTTCTCATTAAGCGTGAGATTGACAGGTGGATCAGTGCAGTTTCTGCAGTGACGCGGTCGCTGTATCGATCCATTTTGGCAAAGCTCTATGTTCCTACCCTCACCTATGGTCATGATCTTTGGGTAATGACAGAAAAAACAAGATCGCGGATACAAGCGGCCGAAATGAGTTTCCTCCGCAGAGTGGCTGGGCGCTTCCTTAGAGATAAGGTGAAGAGCTCAGTGACCCGGGAGGAACTCTTAGTAGAGCTGCTGCTCCTCCACGTCAAGAGGAGCAGCTGAGTTGGCTCAGGCATCTACTCCAGATGCCTCCTGCCCGCCTTCTTCGGGAGGTGTTCCGGGCGTGTCCCACCGGGAGGAGACCCTGGGGAAGACCCAGGACACACTGGGGGGATTATGTCTCTTGGCTAGCCTGGGAACACCTCGGGATCCTCTTGGAAGAGCTGGAGGAAGTGTGCGTGCGTGGAAAGGGAAGTCTGGGAGTCCCTGCTTAGACTGCTGCCCCCGCGACCCGGCCCCGGATAAAGAGGAAGAAAATGGATGGATGGATATTTTCTCATTATTCATTCCTGTTGCTGACAGCAGAGAGCGCTCCAACGCCTAAAGATCTCATCATAAATGGAGATGTAGTTTATAAAGTGTGTTTTGCAAATATAGATATTATTCTAGGTTAGAAAATGAGAAATACAAATCCTAAAATGTTTAAAACTGAATTAAAGACACAGGAATGCATATGTTTTCTTAAAACCAAGGAGAGCTCATGGTATATACTTTTTTACAGTTTATATATATTCTTAAGCAACTATTATTTGTCCAGCTCAATCATTTTTTATCTTCTCTCATGCACTTAAATAACTGAGCTTGTTGCCGTTGATAGCTATGTGGGCAAAGACTACCTGCAGCCACGGCCGATCGAGTTCCACCTGAAGGACGTGGAGAGGCAGATGACCGCACAGTTTTACGTGACCCAGTTCAACAAAAGTCTGTACGAGCGCGAGCAGATGGCACAGATCTTCTTCATCCCCTCAGAGGCCCTGCTGGTGAGAACATAACTCAATGTTAGTTTATGAAATAGATAAATAAAAATAGTTTGGTGAAACCTGTGTACCATCTTTAACTGCATCCATATGAAACAAGTAAATGAACAACTATACTATGAGGCTGCTAATTTTCATATTATTTTTGTCAGATCCTGGAGGGGAACCAGATCGTTGGCTGTGTGACAGTGGAGCCGTACATGCTGGGAGAATTTGTGAAGCTGACCAACAACACTGTGAAGAAACAGAAGCGCTTGGAGGCCACTAAATACGGACTAGCCTTCGGACACTTCACCTACCTCATCTCCGGAGGGCAGGAGGTGGTGGTGGATCTACAAGGTAAATGCGTATTGTAAAAAAAAATTCAAAAAGTAGCCTACTCATTTAGCTTTCCTAAAGATTACACAATTCAGCCAGTTCAAGTTTATTTATAAAGCACATTATATAAACAAGAGTGCTGCACATAATAGTAATATAAAATTTTGTAAACTGTCTATTAAAGTTGTCAAAAGTATCAAGACAGGCTAATCGATATTGAAACTAATATCGGAACTAGATACTCAGTTGAGGAGGTACTGATACTAAAAAAGTCACATTCACACAACAGAAATGAACCTTTTCTGAATAGTCAGAATGATCTCGAGCTGTATCAGAACACGTATAAGAGCACACAGCCTAGTATCAGTGTTGCCAGATGTAGGCTGAAGTGATTTCCGCACCAATCACATTCGAAAATCTAGCCCGATTCATCAGCCGGTTTCACTTCATAGAAACTGTCTGACCTCGCATTCACTCTACGGTAAGCGGGTACTTTTTTCATTTAACCAATTAGTGCTATTTGGTTGTGACGTATGTAATGTGCCGCTAACAGGGCTATCTGGTATATTAAGCTTTTCCTGAATCCCACAGAAAGAAGGGCATTAACGTCTTTCCCCTTGATAAAATTCACCAAACATTCTCTTTGTTTCGGCTTTAAATCCTCGATCTCAGGAATCGTTGCCAACACAGAATATATGGCTCTTTGCTGATTGGATGGTGCCCGAACTTGCACTTCCGGGGTTCTTGCAAACCGTCTAGTGTATTCCAATTCCTGACCTAGTTGCTGTAGAGAAATGAAATCGAGCAGAGGCACTAGGTGGCATCAGCCTGGCTATCAAAAACCTGCCCTCTTCAGCAAAAAAAAAACAAAAACGCCCAACATTCAAAGATTAACACTTAATCTTTGAATAAACGTATGTAATCAATTGTTGGGATTTAAAAAAAAAACATTGCCAGTATTGAGAAAACATGTTAAATGTAAAACAGTATTTTATTTTATCATAGAAAAGAATATAATTTAGCCTAATATTTGAAAAAACATGTTGTAACGTCATCTATTGGCTTTTTTAAAAACATTGCCAGGATTGGGAAAATGTTGATGTTACGTGAAACCTTTGGTAAAATTTTGAACAGCGTTTTCATGTGGCCATGTCTGATCAATTTGATTTATTTATTGAATGAAATGTATGATTGGTGTGAAAACAAAAAATGCCCAAACTTGTTGAGAGTATCCCAAATATTATCTGACCGTCTAAGGCTTCAATCTGGCAACACTGACGAGTATATGACCAGTATGGAACCCACCTGGACGACTGAGGGATTACAGAGATATAATTTTCTAGTACTAAATCTTTACTCTTTCCGCAGGTTGGGTGACAGGTAATGGCAAAGGACTGACCTACCTCACTGATCCACAAATCCACTCCACAAAGACCCCCAAGGGCCCCTCCAACTTTGCCGAGAGGGGCCTGAGGTACTTTTTATCAGAACAACATGGGCCCAAATGTAATGAGATCTGTGAAAAGCTCCAGCTTCCACCAGTGCCCAGTCTGTCCTCTCCAATCCCCCAGTCACTGTAATGTGACGGGACCAAGGGGGTGTTAAAATTGATATTAGGCAGCTGATGTTATCAACATTTCCTGGGGCTGTGACTGTAGGCACTACTCTGTCTGGTACTCAAATTAGACTTAAGTCTGAGCTCAATTTTAACAAAATCTGATAATTAAAGAGTCACTAAACACCAAAATCACTTTTTTTCTACTGATTATCTGTGTAAATTGGTTTGAAATAGAAGTGTATACCTATCACTGGCCTTATTTTGGCTTTTTAATGCATATTTGTTATTTGTTTGTTGTGACTTTTGGGTCAAAGTCGTGTCTGTAACAGCCCCTTTAGGATCAACTATGGTCAGGACATTAGAATTTTCGGGTTGGACTAATGGTGCAAATGAGTCAGACACTGGTTATTACGTGATGAGTTCAACCACTGGCGTCTACGGGCGGGATGTGAGGAGCCTCTCTCAGCCCTGCCCCGACGGGCACCGCGATGTCCCACCGTGTCTGGAGAAAAGTGAAACGGTGTGATCTCAGCTCAAATGTCCGCTCTGTTTCAAAGTCTGGAGCGCACCGTCCACACTGTGTTGGATTGTTGTGGCTGTTGGTCGAGTGTCAATCATCGCTCCAGAGTCAGAGTCCAGTTATTCACTATCAACTTTTTTGTTGAAAACACTAATCACACTCAAACACTCAAACAGAACCATGAATGTTCATATTGATCTCAGGCTCCTGAAAATGTGCTAATCTGTTTTGTATTTTGTATCTAGTAACTTTTTTGGCAGTGTTTGCTAATGTTTGTACTGTGTCACCTTGGTAACTGCTCAACATTCTGCCATAGATAAAGAAATAGAACACCCCCAGCGCGATGTTGCTGCAATAGGCTGTAGAGCAAGGGTGTCAAACTCAAATTCACAGAGGGTCAAAATTAAAAACTGGGACTAAGTCGTGGGCTAAATTAAATAATTATTGAAAAATTTGAAAAAACATCTGCCTGTTTTCTCTTCTTTCGAGATATGGAATGTTAAACCTTTTCTTATTAAAATAAATGTTTAATAATAGTTTTGCTTAAACACTGAATCCAGAATAAGCATAATATAAAATAATAATATCTGTAGTCGGCGGGCAGATCTAATACATGTTTGATATGATCTCATGGGCCAAATATAATTAAATCGCGGGCCAAATTTGGACCCTGGGCCTGAGTTTGACATGTCTGCTATAGAGGGATTGTAGATTCTGTTGCCATGATAGAAAATAAATGTTAGAAAATAATGTGAAATCTGGGACAGAAAAAAATTATTAAAGGGTTTAAATGAACATATAATTGTGTATTTCTGGTATATTTTTGTTGTCTCTGTCAGGACATTATTTTATGTAGAATAAAGGTGCAATAGAAAACATTATTACCTGATTTGTTCACATTAGTATGTAGGGAATGAGCATTAGATATTAAAAAAGGGACTTTACGGAAGATAACTACAGGAGCCAAAGTATGTGACCAAGTTAACATGACAATTTAAAAGAAGTCAATACCGAAACTGTCGGCATTATGTGTAATTTAGTTCTTAGTACTTTCTGTGGTATTAATGAGGAACTTGCTTAAATCTCTGCACCATCACATGACACCGCTGTAGCAGATAAACTCCTGCGTGTCTTGTCACCCCACGCTGGATTGCAGTCAAACTAGAATTTCTAAGCACATGACAAACACACAGGCATACAATGGCCACAATGACAAATCAGTTTTAAAATATTCTGTATAACATAACCAATAATCATGTTGTATAATCTGTGTTTATATTTTAGACATTTCAGAGCACAATAGTAACGCGAGGTTAGATTAGTGAGGTTGGTTAGGCTAGTTTATTTGCCATTTGTAGTTAAAACCACATTGGAAAAACAAAAATGCAAGCATGTAAATATGATCAAATATTTTAAAAGTTATGTTCTCAAGTGTTCTGTTCCTGACAGATTTTGAAATATTGCACTTCTTACACTGTGTTCAACTTTTAAAATGTAATATATTTCGAGGCAAGTGTTTATTTTCATTTCGCTTAATCATTTTCAGCTACTTTTTTGTATCCACTTTAAAATAGAATAAACTTAACTTAAAGGTTGGATGGAGGATTTTTTTTGTTTGTTTCAAATTGTCATTGAAAGGTTAAAATACCATTACAGAGACGCAACAGTCTTGTAATTATGATGACCAAAAAAAAAAAGAATGAAAATTTATCAACTGTGGACGTAGTGAGGCCAGATAAACACCAGCCAATAGAAAACAAGGCTCCCTCTTTATCTATTGGCTGTTAGGTTGTCAATCAAACTCTCTACGTTTCTAGTGTAACTGACTCGCCGGCGCGTGGGGTTTTACGTGGTTTATGCAGGGGTTCTTAAGAGTCTTTTTCAAACAGTCGCTTCCTCGCAGTTCGCACAGTTTGTTGCGATGGCGGATGAGAATCCACGACCAGTTCGCTGCAAAAGAAAGTCAGTTTTTGAGGTCGCTGATAGAAGAAGAGAAGGGGAAAAGGAGCGAAGACAAACTGAGGTGATTCTTGGAGATTCCTTCCAGCGACGGTGCAACTGAAGCAGACGAAGGGTCTAAAAACTGATGCGTCGGCTTTTTGTGGTCGCTTCAACAGTAATTCTGAACACACACTGGACGTAAACAAGCGTGATTTGTAGAGTAAAGAGGTGAGAGGAGGTGTTTCTACTGAGGGAGCTGTGGAGGAGGAAGGTGGTGTCACGCATGCACGACATTTGAAAAAGGACTGTAATTTCTCTTCCCTAAAAATCCTCTATACAACCTTTAAGCACACGAGCGCACATGCTCTCCCGTCCCCTCAGAGCCTCCCCTCTGCGCTGGCTTCCCTCTCTGCTCTACCTCCAAGCTCCTTACCTCCCTGATACTTTTAATGCATCACACCCAACTTTTTAATGCATCACAATTCAACCAGGGATGGATGTGGGTTCGTGTGTGTGAGTGTGTGTGCAGGCTTGTGTGTATGTGGGTGTGCGTGTATGTTCCTATACAGGCAGGGGCGTGTATGCATGTGTGCGTGTGAATGTATGCACATGTAAACAGTGTTGGGGAGTAACAGATTACATGTACCGGAGTTACGTAATCAGAGTACAAATTATGAGTAACTGTATTCGGTTACTGTTTCAGTGAGTGGTAATTGGATTACAGTTACATGGTTGAAATAAATGGATTACACTGTGGTATTTTCCTGTTTTCACATTTTGGGGTATTCCCTGTTTTTTTTTTTTTTTTTTTTTTTTTTTTTTCAGTAATTCCACTCATTGCCAGACACTAAACCAGGTCTAAAACCAGGTCTTAAACCAGGTCTAAACTAGGTCTAAACTAGGTCTAAACCAGGACTAAAGCAGGACTAAAACCAGGTCCAAACCAGGTCTAAACCAAGTCTAAACCAGATATAAAACCAGGTCTAAACCAGGTCTAAACCAGAACTAAACCAGGACTAAACCAGGACTAACCCAGGTCTAAAACAGGATTTAACAGGACTAAATCATGCTGCGGGGACCATGTCTCCTCCTCTTCTATCAATAATATTTTTAATACGGTTAAGTAAAGACTGGGCTTTTTTGTTGTCTTTTAGTAGACTTATGTTACGATATCCTAGTCTTTGCTACACTACAACAAAGCAAGTAATCCAAAGTATTCAGATTACGTTACTCACTTTAAGTAATTTATTGGATTCCGTTACAAACTACATTTTGGGTATGTAATCTGTAATCTGTAAGGGAATACATTTTAAAAGTCACCTTTCCAAAACTGCATGTACATATATATCAGGGAGGGGCAGCGTTCAGACCAGTTCGTCGAGGGGTTGGCAGGCCTGATTGGTGGGCGGTCGCATGCAGGGTCCTTGGGGGTGGCACCTGCTCCGACTTGAGTGGGGATCTGAGGCAAAACTTCAACACATACTTAACTTATGTTCAGTACTCAAATTAACTAGTAATTAAACAGGTCAGCGGTAAATCATTCGAATAGCCTGTCTATTCCCTCCGTGTACAGACACACACACACACACACACACAGACACACGCATAAGGTCCACACTTTCACCAGCCCCTGTCACATTTGTCCCTATTTGTATGTAATCTCCGTAATTGTAATGTCTGTCTTGTATCTTGTATGTTGTTTGGTTCCCATTTGTTATAATGTCTGTAGTTTTCAAATAAAATAATAATAAAAAATTAATAAATTAAGCACATGAAAATAAGGCATTAAGACCATAGACTGTAAGAACATGCTTACTTTACAGTTTACTTAATATCTGCGTGATTAAATTTGATTAAGATGACCACAGACTTCTGCTTATAATACGATGTTAGTCATGTGACCTGGTCTATCTGCTGTAACTGTCTGCTTTGTAAAACAGCATGTGATCTCACAGATAAGATAAGACTTGTAATATTGACCCCACCTACGCTCCATCTTCCCATCCAGTGCATCATTCACATTTTATTGCATGTTTCCTCATTTTGTATTTTATCTCATTTGGAGGAGATTTTGACTTACTGATGAAAAAAAAAATATATATATATAAACTGAACTAATATGGGGTTATATAGAAAAATACCTGTACTACTGCTATTACTACTGTGTTGTTGCTGTTTTTTTTCTTTTGTTTTGTTAATTTTTTCCACCACTGCTATTACTATTTCTTCTACCTATAATAATAAGTCAAGTACAAGCACTATTACACAATAGTAGACTTAGCAGATACTTTGACTGCCACAAAATAGTGTGTGATTAAACTAATTACTACATAACAAAAATATTTTTATTAAGTTATTATTATTATTATTATTTATTTATTTATTTATTTTTTATTACTTTTTTTGTGGATGGCTTTGCTGACTGTGTACAATTTATCATATATTACTACCACAGCAATTACTAGTTAGTAGATACTTTGACTACTACTTTGACAGACATTAAATAAATTACAACATAACTAAAAGAATTTGTATTATTTTATTATTAACAAAAACAATTAACAATAATAATAATAATAATAATAATTATTATTATTAATTATTATTATTATTATTATTATTATTATTATTATTATTATTATTTGTTATTTATTATTATTATTATTTTTATTATTGTTATTTATTATTATTATTATTTAACTTTTTTATAAATTTTTCCTATTGTTGTTTTTTTGTTTGTTTGTTGTGTTTTGTTTTTTTTTGTTTGTTTTTTTTTTTGTATGGTTTTGCTAACTGTATGTACAAGTTATTGTTTCTTACTTCCACAGCAATTACTAGTACTGATATCACATGACTTCAGCTCCCCTAACTAAAAAAGCTTAATTTAAAACAGGACAGTCACAGTGTATATTTTTATGCATTTATGTGTCATGATAAGAAATGGAAACACAAATATAATTCAATGTCTTTATAGTTCCATATTGATGCCATAACAGTGACCTGATAACCTCTGTTTTGCATAGGCCTCACCTGCAGTCATATGACAATGAGATCACTTCTGGAGCAAAGGAGAGACACCCATCCAGTCCTGTTTAGAATCCACTCCAGACCTTACCAACAACCTGCTGGGAACATAAACAACATTCCTTACCCCTGTCCCACAGCGCATCGGGTCATCTGACATAATGGCCTTTACTAAAATACAGGTATTTGATTCAAAAGATTACAATACTAGGAAAATTGGCAGCTAGGCGAGTAGTGGTTCAAGTAACAATAGTAGTTAGTAATAGTAAAAAGATAAAAAGGATAGTAGTAAGCAGAAGTGGAACCAATACTTTTTTTTTTTTTTTTCTACTCCAGTGGACTTGTTTAATATTCATTTTTATTTATTTATTTATTTATTTATTATTATTATTTATTTATTTATTTTTTCCAGTGGACTAATTTAATATTAATTTATTTATAATTATTAATATTATTATTATTATTTTTTTTTTTTTTTTTTAATTTCCTTTTTTTTTTTTTTTTTTTTTTTTTTCAATAGACTTGTTTAATATTTATTTTTATTTATTTATTTATTTTTCCCTGTGGACTTGTTTAATATTTATTTATTTATATTCTTTTGTTTTCTCACCAGTGGACTCATTTAATATTTATTTATTATTATTTATTTATTTATTTTTATTAAGGACAACTGAATATAACATTTAACAAAATACAATAATCAACATTTAACAAATTACAGTAATCAACATAAAACAAAACACAAAAACATAAACAACACCTACAACAAATACAAAATAAAAAAGCCCCCCCCCCCATTTCCCTCAAGTGGGACCAAGTTGTTGTTTTGCAAGTCTCAAGTAACATCTAAAGTCTTTGACCTCAAGTCCGAGTCAAGTCCCAAGTCAAATACAGACAAGTCCAAGTCGAGTCTCGAATCACTGACCCATAAGTCCACGTCAAGTCCAAGTCGTCTGCTTTGAGCTTCAAGTCTTTTTAAGTCTTTAAACCAAAGTACCAAGTACAGCTGAAATTGTATCAATTTGTCTGAATTTTAAGATTAAGAGTTGTACAAATTAATTTAGTAAAATTTTCCTTTTTAAAACTTTGACAAGATCTTAGTCTGAATCATTATGGTCAGAACAGAAAAAAATTCTGATTTATAAGTGCTTCTCAAATCACAGGCCTCAAGTCCAAGTCGAGTCCCAAGTCGTTGAGTAAGTTAATAACAATGAGGGAACAAGGTTTCACCTGATTTAAAGCTCATGTTATAACAGTCCTCTTGAAAGTATTTTAAAGTAGTAAGTGGTAATAAGTAATAAGTAATAAGTAATAGTACGGTATTAAAAGGAGAAATAGAAGTTTGCAGGTGTATGCTTCTGCTAGTAGAAGTATGATAATTAAAGGATAATAAAAAGTTATACAAGTTACACGAGTATACAACATATTTGTTGCTATAAGTGACAAATGCTTTACTTGACTCTGTATGTACTTTTGAGAACACATTTCCACATTTTCTATAACAATAGAAATGATGTTGTCTGACAAATCTCGTATCAGATAATCTCATATTTTAAGCAATAGTTGTGTATTTATTTATTTATTTATATTTATGTTTATTTTAATTGATTGATTTGGTTAAATATTTTAAGTATTTTTTCACATATTTGACCAAACTTAACGACTATAGTAGGCCTGGTTTGGCAGTAATCACTTTCATCTCACTGTTGTCCACCCACCATCTTGGAAATGGGCTTGTTTAGTTTATGTAAGGTCCCACGTAAAACCCGGAGGCTGGATTTCTAACCTGGACTGTGTCTGTGTGTTTATAAGGAAGTGTGTGGCTCTCCGTCTGCACAGTGGAAACAGGAATAGGTCTGAACATGAGGTCCGTACTGCTGTTGGTGTGTTTGCTGGGGGTTAGCCTTGCAGCCAGCATGGAGAGGAAGCCCCGACACTGCAGTAAGTGCTTGTTTTCATTTCTGTTGTTGTCATTTCCATTGTTTTATTCACTCATTTGCATGTTTTTATTCCTAATCTAGAAAGCCCACCTCTGCTGACTGGAGCTTTCACTTTTGTAAGTCTTATTATAATATTAAATATGCACTTGGTGAAGCTGAAATAAGTATTTTTGAGTTGTAACGGGAATTAGGAGTAGGATATAGTAATATAATGACACCTGCTGTACGTCATAGAAAGGGAAGTGAGAAGCATGTGACCATCAGACTCACCTGACCAAAGGTTCAATTCAACACCAAAATATCCCAATGTGTTATAAAGTTTGTCTTAAAGGGAGGTTACATAGAATATTATCTCAAAATGACCTTTCTGTGTCTGTAGATTTGAGCTACAGATATTAAAATCAAATGTAGTTTTTACTGATAACAATTGAAAACACCGAATGTGATTAGAGATGTAACAATAACCAAATCCCTCGGTACGATATTATCACGATCAGTGTTGGGAAGGTGATTTTTAAAATGTATTCCCCTACAGATTACAGATTACATACCCCAAAATTTTGTTTGCTTGATTTGCTGTAGAGAAGCAAAGACTTGGATATCTTCACATAAGATGTTTTGTCTGATAAAAGACAATAAAAAGCCCAGTCTTTACTTAACCATATTACAAATATTTCGGCATGGTTTCGACCTGTTAAATCCTGTTTTAGTCCTGTTTTAATTCTGGTTGAGACCTTGTTTATACCTGGTTTAGACCTGGTTTAGACCTGGTTTAGATCTAGTTTAGATCTAGTTTAGACCTGGTTTTAGTCCTTATTTAGTCCTGGTATAGACCTGGTTTTAGTCCTGGTTTAGACCTGGTTTAGATCTGGTTTAGATCTTAGTTTAGACCTGGTTTAAACCTGGTTTAGACCTGCTTTACATCTATTTTAGACCTGGTTTTAGTCCTGGTTTAGTCTTGGTTTAGTCCTGGTTTAGACCTGGTTTAGGCCTGGTCTAGACCTGGTTTTAGTCCTGGTTTAGTTCTGGTTTAGTCCTGGTTTAGACCTGGTTTTTACTTGGTTTTAGTCCTGGTTTAGTGTCTGGCAATGAATGGAATTACTGGGAAAAAAAAAGAAAAGAAAGAAAGGGGGGAAAAAAGCGATATAGCCCAAAATGTGAAAACAGGAAAATACACATGAATACAGTTACTCATAATAATTTGTACTCTGATTACATAACTTCAGTACATGTAATCTGTTACTCCCCAACACTGATCACGATATGCATCTCACAGTACGATATTGATTGCGATATTTTGGAGAGGCTGATATAATTGGAGTTGGAACACTTTTTTGCTTTTAAAATACTTTGAAAAGATTTTGTTGTGAATTATTTCCGTCATAATTCCAAGAATTCAAGTAAAAAACATATTTCTTCATGTTGTCTGCACTGAAATGAATCATGGGATATGTAGTTCCTGATGTTTATAAGCTGTTGCTACTATAAATTAATGCATTTAAGCAAAGGATTTTGTAATTCGATATATTGTGACATCCCACAATATTATTGTGAGACTTTTTACTATACGATATCATGATATTTCGGTTATTGTTACATCCCAATGTCCTGTCCATATACTAAGAATGAGACAAACGTGTGTGCCCCCCTATCTGCAGGTTAAGGTACTGCTGGCAACACAGGTTTATATCTTTAATTAACTACATCTTTTTTTTTTTTTTTTGGATACATTAAACATATTTATTTCTGTGGAGACACGTTGTTGATGTGCTCAGGCCAAATTACAGGTCAGATTTGTGGAGAAGCAACTTTCTAATTATTATTAACTAGGGACGTAACAATATCCAAATCTCTTGATACAATATTTTCACGATATGCATCTCACGGTACGATATTTATAAATAAATATGTTACTTTTCTATCATAATCCAAATAATTAATATTTAAAAGTGCTTAATAACAGTTGTTTTATCATGTAGATTGGACTAAAAGAGAGCAAAGGATCATGGTCTATGTAGTTCTGTCTGTTTTTTAGCTGTTGCTGCACCGTAACAATGAATTTAAGGAAAGAAACTTGTAATTCGATACAATATCACGATATTTTGGTTAATGTTACATCCCTGTTATTAATTATTATTTAATATTACACTATGGGACATTCCAGACAAAGCTATAACATCCTCCAACACGTATTGCACCTTTAATAATGAACAAACTTCTTATATAATTTATTCAAATCTTGTAATACATTTAGTGATGATTTACATTTACATTTACATTTTAATTTTCAAATGGTGTGTTCAGTCCACGCAGAACGAGAAGGCCTGGTTCTACGCTGGATACGAGTATGACGCGTGGCAAGAGAGAATCCGCATCTACGAGACCGGAGTGTACAACAATAAGTCCTTCACCTACGACGTTCTCTTGCTCTACAAAGAGGTACGGCTCCTTTAGAGTTTGCACAGTACATCTATGTGGGCGTTATGGTGGAGATACAGTCACGAGATGTACTTTTATTATGCCATATAAAAGTTTGGTGTGTGTATTACTACCTGCCTTATTTTACTTACTTATATTACCACCTTATTTCACTTCCCACTCATTCCAAGAAACGTTTTGGTACACTGGAAAAACACTGCCATTGTTGCAAAATATTTGTGATTCATTCTCAAGCAACTTTAAAGTGGAACTAAAGTTGTGTTGTTTTTTGACTACTAAAATTGTGCATATATAGTGTTTTAATAGCATTACGGACTGTTCTTAGTCCTTTTTTGGCAACATTAGTGCAATTTGAAGCCTTCTGGTCAAATATGCCCAAATTTAAACGTACACTGACTTCACTGGCCTGTGTAATTTCCAGTAGTTTGTCACATCACACACATTACACCCAGTTGTTTCTGATTAAACGCCTGGCTACAGGGGCAGAGCATAAAGTGTGTCTACCTGTTTGACCAATCACAGTGGTTTTTGTCCCTCTAGACCTCGTGTCTCCTGTTCTCTCGCTCTCCCCTTTAGTCGTCTCTAGGTACTACCCAGTTTAGCAGCTCTATTTGAAATGTGGTTGTGGGGGGAGTTTAGGTGTTTAGGAGTTTCCCCACTTTAAATTCACACTGTGCAGAGTCTAGAGGAACTATGTTGGTGTTGTTATGTGCGAAAACCCCTAATCCTTTCACATACAGTGCATATCTTACCCACTTTTAAAATAGTTTGACAATTCTAGTCTAGAATTTGACATGGACTGCAGATGTGACTTAGGTAATATGAAAAGTCACATAACAAACATAATGTAAACAAGGGTTAAAGCTTGACTAATTTACCCAGTAGTAATTACATCTTTAGTTCACTGCACGAATGTATAAACTGCCAGAAAAATTTGCCTATTCATTGTGCATAAATTTCTGCATTTTGTTGGAAGTTTATTATTTTATTTATTTACTATACCACCAAACCAAGTAATATCATTTCAAAAACATAAACTTTCCATATTTCAAAGAGGGGAAATTATGCATTTTTCTATTTTTTTTTTTTTTTTTTTTTGTTTTCTCCAAAGTGATAATGTTGTTCCCTCATCAAAAACATGCTTGAAGATGTTTAAGATGTCATCCATGCATGTTTGAGTAATCTAGCGATCTCTCCCTGCTCCTATTCAAACCCTCCTTGTGGTTATCAGTAAGATTCTTGCCCATGCTCCCACATGACAGTTCTCCAGTCAACTTGCCTGTTCATGACTGTTGTGATAAAATTATGTTTATAGGAGAGGTGATCGTATAAGACCGAAAATGTCTTCTTATTCTCTCCTGCACAGTCATTTTCTTTTGTTTCTACCTGTTTCAAATGTTCTTTTTAGTATATGTGCAAATAAAATCTATCTCTATCTATCTATCTATCTATCTATCTATCATAAATATGTAAAAACATGATACAAAACTGTACAAAGCAACTTGGAGTGACTTAGTGTGGAGAGTAAACATTAGATTCTTGTTCATGTTTTTTTTTTTTTTTTTTTCTCATCTCTGATAAAAATAAAACAAAATAAAAAAATAGATTAGATTGTATAAATTAATCAAATAAATATAAAGTATTTGTAAAAAAAAAAAATAAAAAAAACTCTCCATGAGGATATTGCAAAGGGGAATTATAATGGACCTCCTTTTTTTCTTTTTTTTCCCTTCGGTTTTATGAGGATATGAGTTGATGATATTTTTTTATTTTATTTATTTATTTTTTTGCAATTAGGCACATAGACTTACTTTTGGATTTAATATAGTTTTATTTTTATTGATAATTACTTGAGTTACCTGTTGTTGTTTGCAGGCAGCACTAAGTTTAATCACTTTAAAATGTCGTCTTGTTGTGTTTTTAGCTGCTCAGAGCATCAAAAATGAAAGTGAGACTTATAAAACATATTAATCCTCTGTTGTTTTTGGCGAATATAGCATTTTTAAAACAATAAGTGAAGAGTGGCGATCTAAATATGCTATGTGTTACCAGTTAATATCCCAGAGAAGTGCAGTACTCTCTCTTTAATTAACTATTTTGTCTCTTGTTTTTGTGTCAGGGAGTGATGTACCAGATCGACTCCAAGGCCAGGACATGCACCAAACAGTCTCTGCAGGTAGACTTCATGCCCATGGGCGTGCCCCCTAACGCCACCCTGGTGGGGCAGTTCGTGGTCGGGACTTCCTCTGGACCTGGAGAGGGGCTGCTGGTCGACACTTGGCAGGGGATCGCACCAGATGGAGGTTAGTGGATAAAGTACAAGGGCAGATTTTAGAGTTATTGTGTTAGTGATTCAGTAGTATTAGTTGCAGAGGTAGTAATTAGAGTAATATTAGTAGCAAAAGTAGTAATAGTTGTAATTATCGGTAGCAGAAGTTGACGTAGTAGTAATAATTAGTAACAGATTTAATAATCATAGTAATATTAATAGCAGAAGCAGTAATAGTAGTAGCAGTAATAGCAGCAGGATTAGTAGTAGTTGTGGTTATAGTAGTAGAAGTAGTAGCTGTGGCAGTATTTGTAGTAGCATTAGTAGTAGTAATAATGGTAGTAGTTAGTTATATTATATAAGAACTGCAGTAGTGATAGTTGTTGTAGTAGTAATAATAGTAGAAGTAAGGCTGTGCAATTAATTGAATTTTTATTGCAATTTTCATTTGTATGTCAAACGATCTCCAAACTCATATAATCAAATTAAAATGATTTATCTTAAAGTTTATTTTGGGATATTTTTATATGTAGTAGTAGTATATTTATTTAAATTTTTAAGTATAGAGATTGTACAAGAGCTGGATATATAGTTTATTTTGAGTACATTTATGTTTTTCTATGATTTATTTCATGTTCAATGTCATATTTTATTCATTTTATGTTTTATACATCGCAAAATTGTTCTAAGTTACATGTTTGTAGCCTATATTTATTTTCAGTTTGAAAGTTTTGCATAAATTATCAATAACAAAGTGTTTATGAGAGAGAGGAATGCTGAATTAATGCATCGTGTAACTAAAAAATAATAGTTTGAATAATCCTGATTTCAATATTGACCAAAATAATTATGATAATGATGTTTTCCATAATCGAGCAGCTCTAATAGAATTAGTGTTTGTGACAGTATGAGTAGAAGTAGTTGTTTTAGTAGTAGTAGTACTAATAATAGTAGCAGTTGTGAAAGTGATAGTAGTAATACCAGTTAGCAGTAGCAGATGTAGCTGTATACTTGTATAGTAATAGTAGTGGTAGTAATGGTGGCAGTAAGTAGTGTTTTTTGGATTAGTAGTAGTAGTAATATTAGTAGTAATAGTACCTATAGATGGATAGTTAGGTCTAAAATCAGAATTAAACATATACAATCTTTTCTTTCTGCAGCTAAGTACATGGTGACGGTGACTGAGTTTGGATGCGCTCCTGTCAGCACTTTGTACCACACCAAACAGTTCGGCTGGGTAATCGTTAGGTAAGATTTTAATAAACAAAATCTATGTCTTTTTATAGTATCAAAATTGAGCTGGAGGACAGGTCAGAATTCCTGGTTTATGGTTAATGTCTCTGCTATTACTGGGCCTGTCCACATGAAACAAAACTTGGCTTCTCTATCTTGTATAAATTAATCAAGAAAGAGTGTAATTATTTTTTCACAATAGCTTCAGAATTTGAACCTCCAGCTGAAAGGATTTATAGTCGTAATATTAATATGGCAAGTTTGTGGAGCCAATCCCAAACAAATAATGATATAGTGGTTCATATGTTTAGATTTTTCTTCAAAAACAGTAAATCTCCCATAAAATTATATAGGCTATACCCTCCATCTAAATTATGACATAAAATAAAAGTGTCATGGTTTAAAAATAGATGTAGAATACTGGAAAAAACATATAATAGTATAATAGTTTTGAGAGATTTTGTCACGGTTTCGTCCTTTTTAGTCGACTAACTGATCAGTAGATCATGTCTTTAATTAGAAATAAAAGCGATCTTGAGTGTGTAGAAAATACGTTTTGCTCCTAAACATTTCATTTGAGAGTAAAAAAAAAAACATCCAACAAGGAATCTAATATTGCTACCAAATATCTTCTCTTTCTCAGCTACATCAACAATATTAAAGGAATTCTCGACCCCAGCGCTCTGAACCCTCCTCCATTCTGCCCTGATCTGAACGCCAAGCCAGTGGGGATGCCTGTGGATTTCTTCAGCATCGTCAATAACCTGAAGAAAACTGCAGTTTAATAGAAGTGTCCATGTTTGTTTTGTAATACATTTGAAGGGCATTTTTACCTTCCCTGACTGTTGGATGTGTAATAATAAAGAAAATGGATTCAGAATTCCTAGATCAACTTCAACTGCGAAGGTGGTAGCTAGTTACTCATGCAGAACGTCATGTAGAATGGGAAACATATTATTCCAAACTGGCCAATAACATTAGATAAATGTTCTACACTGACCAATAGACTTCTTTGTCAATGATTATTCTATGATATATTTTTGGATTCATAAATTTAATTTGGACTATGAAATGTTTGTAAATGTGTTTTGCCTGTCAAACGTAATTGAACATTTTATATTTCCCATAATAAAAATTTAGGCTTATAGTTTTTCTTTTGCATAGAAAAAGTTGCATAGAGGTAGTTTCCAATAGACATAAACTATTCTTTTGCAATAACAAGGTACTTAATTTTTGACTCATCAACCTCAAAAAATACATTGTAGTGTAGTTGCTACAGCTGGTCAGTACACTGTGAGTTGCATGTAAAAAAGTATTGTCTACTCTATAGCTTAAAACAGTGGTTCTCAAAATGTTCACATCAAATACCTCCCAAGAAAATATTTAACCTTCTAAACACCTCCACATCTAAACCACACTTAAGAAGAAGAGTATATCCAGTCTAAATTAAGACATATACTACAACTGCAGAGTATCCAAAGTACCGCCAATGGTACATGTACCACAGTGTGAGAAACACTGGCCTAAAACATTACATCATCGTAATCAAGAATTAAATTGAGAACAAAATGACAACTCTGACATAGATCTATAAAAGATTAATGCTTTGGTCTTGTTACTTAAACGTGTGAATAAAGCAAAACACACACACACACACACAAAATCATTTTAATTTAACTGTCAAATAATTATAAAGTATTTGTTTAAAAAAAGATGATATTGCAGATGGGAATTATAATGCACCTACATTTATTTATTTATTTATTTATTTATTTATTTATTCGGTTTTTCGAAGATCATCCGGAAATTTGACAGCACACCGAAATGCATTGTGGGATTTGTTGTTTGTTGATAGGCTGCTGCTAACATTAACCACTGCGCTCACTTTGTACGCTTTTGAGCTGACAAAACTGTTATTAAGGACAGAAATTATAAACTGAAAGGCGATCGATTTTTCAGCTTTCTCGATTTGAATCATGTAGCTAATTTGAAAAAGCGAAAAAGCTACTTAAATTTTCAGTATGACTTGTTGATTTTTTATTTTATTTTAATTTTTTTTTTTATTTTTTTATTTTTTTTTTTTGCTATAAGTCACATAGACTTACTTTTGGATTTAAAAATTTTATAATATATTTTTATTTTTATTGATAATCTCGATAACCCACGTCCCGCATACGTCAACGTAACGTCACATTTGCAGGAAGTGGGAGTTACTTGTTGTTGTTTGCAGGCGCGCTAAGTTTAATCACTTTAAAATGTCGTCTTGCTGTGTTCTTGGCTGCGAGAATTGGAGAAACAACACTTGTGATTCAAAGCTAAAGTTTTACCGCATACCAGCAGACACTCCTTCGCAGAAAACAAGGAGACAATTGTGGTTGAACGCGATAAGACGGAGCAACTGGACAGAGACGATCGTAAACAATGCTCATGTCTGCAGCGCACACTTCATATCAGGTAAGACAAGGCATGTACTTTTACTGATGGGTTTATCTAGTACAAAACAATCGATTTCTGCTCGAGAAATGCCACTAGCGTAAATTTTAACTTGGTAAACAAACAAAACACACCGAAAGCTACAGTGCGTGCTTTATTACATTTACATGGTTAATCATAGTTAGATCTGCCTTGACAATATTCTCAAGTCAATCATTTTAAAACGTTTAGTCTAGAAATATTCAAAACATGGTAAAACTAGTGGGTCAGTCCAGATGAAATCTGCAGGAATCTCCCCTATGAGCCATCTCAAATTTGGCTGAAAAAAAAAAAAAAATCAAAACATTTCTAAAATTACCAAATTTAAGATCAGTCCCTTCAGTTGTTCCTGAGTTATGGCCTGTTGAAATTTTGGGGGCATGCCCACTTTTTCAGAAACCTTAATTTATAAGTATTTTTGAGAAACCACAACTTTTAACTATTAACTATTTACTCCGTACAAAATTATGAAAAAAAGTATTTATTCTAATTTGAGAATTTGGGGGCCCACAACACCCCCCTTAATAATGATACCCAATATTTGACAACAGATTTTGAATTTATGACCCAAAAGCTACAATAATACAAATGTTCAGCTTCCTAGCTCTATTTTTTATGAAGTTATGTTCTCTCAAACATGCTTATAAATTAAGGTTTCCGAAAAAGTGGGGACAGCCCCAAAATTTCAACAGACCATAACTCAGGAATGACTAGATTGATTATATTATATATTTTATAATATATTATAGATGATTAGATTCTTTCATTTGGTAATTTTAGAAATAGTTTGAATTTTTTTTTTTTTTCAGTCAAATCTGAGATGGCTCATAGGAGAGGGCGGCTGATTTCAAATGGACTGACCCTATTCTAGTTCTGTGAAACAAGGTACCATGACTACAACCTGTGTGTGACAAAATATACTGAAATAAATACTACAGATTAAAAAAAAATGTGTAGTGTTGTCCACTCAACATGTTTTGGTCAGTAAACTGATGTAAATGTTTAAAGGTCCATTGTGTAACTTTACTGTGGAGGGTCGATCAAATACTTTTGTCCACGGAAATGTTATTGCTTTGTCTGGGATGTTTCTCAGCATTGACATTAAACCTTTGTGTTACCAGACCAAGTTACAGATCATATCTGTGTAGAGGCGACTCCACTCGCAATCACATAGTCTGTTTTTCTATGTATTTTTGAGCAATAAATCCACTGTAATTGAATAAATGTAAGGTAGAGTAGTTTAATGTCATACTGTGGAACATTCTAGCAGAGTAATGACATATCCATACAAACAAGCAGGTGACAGACCCTCCACCAGAAAATTTACACAATGCACCTTTAATATATTTTCTTTTTTTATATAGGAGAAGCTTCACTGGATGCTGAAAGCCCAGATTTCGTCCCCTCTGTTTTCCCCCATAAACAGCAGAATAGCATCCCGAGTGAAAAGATGGAAAGGTAAGGTGCTTAGAAATGAAATGTGCTGAAAGATGAACTTTCCTAAATGGTGTCGTGGCTTGGACTGGACTAGATTCAACTGTTGAGACTGACAAAGACGAGAGAGAGTTGGCATTTCGTTGTCGCCTACGTCACTTGAAATGGCACCAGAAGAGAAAGACTCACTCTTATGTCATAGATCACCCTCTGTCCTCTTAGAGAAATTTTGTATTCACTATATATTTATTTTTACATATCACATATCATAACATATCAGTATATTTGTATGTATTGTATCCATGTGTCCAAATAAATTCCCTTGTAGATCAATAAAGTTTGCCTATGTTTTCTTTCTTCTTTCAGGCCGGCAAGAAAAAAGAAAAAGGAACATCGAAAAATGCTGCAGAAATCCACAAACAAAGGTGTGTAACAAACATTTCCTTATCCTATATCTTCCATATGTCCTAATTTTCTTGTGTGTGTAAAACTATTAGGACTGTATTACTTGGACAATGGAGTGTTGGTTGACCTAAATTTGTATTGGTCATTTATTGGTCATCATTTAATTCAGATTATAGGGTTTTTTTATGGGACAACAGCAGAAAGCAAGATTAGAGATTAAATTCATGCATCACATTTTTAATCTTTTTTATATATATTCCTTCCTTGTACTCTTTTCTGCATAAATAATAGTTTTTACACGAAGCCCCTGTGCAGGTACAGTCTTGTGAGCATAGTTTAGGTTGGATGCAAAGTGATGGGTAATAGTAGAAAAATCACAGGGGACTGAAAAACATTGGGGATTTTTGTAAAATCAATGAGTGAAACACTCAACTCTGTTAATCTGAGGAGAGATAATTGAGTACATTTTTATAATAATGTGACCAATGAGCTTCTCATGCATCACTGAGAAAACAAAAGACAAGTGGGGCCATTATTTGCTTTTTTAGTGTTTCAGTTATTGGCTTTAAATCTCCAGCACAGGCTGATTTATATTTTAAGATAATGAATCTAACATATTTTTCTTATAACCTTATAGAAATCACAAAAGAGGATATCCTGGAACTGCGGTTAATTGCTCCTGATGCTGTTGTCCTTACCAGCATTGAAAAAAGTGACACAGACACAGCGTCTGAGTGTGACAAGGTGGAGGATCCCCCAGAGCCGCCAGAGCCACCCACTGCTGCGCACGACCCCGCCCTTGAGCAGCAGAGAACAGCAGCAGACCTAAAGGAATCATGTAAGAAGGCCTTTCAAAAGAGCAGAAGAAACATCCATACTGAACAATGTGAGAGACTGACTATTTTCCAATATCCTCCATCTGTGACTGCTTTACGTTAAGTAAATTTACAGACATGTGAAGGGTTAAAAGGTATATATTAGGGATGGGCATTCGATAAAATTTTCTTAATCGATCGTCGGGAGAATTAACGATTGATTAATCATTGACGTTTTTATATTAAAATTGTCATCATTATTATTTCTATCTGCACTACTAATCTGCATAAATAAATTCAACTTTACAACATATATAAACCGTAACCACTCTAGAGTCACATCAGCCTGTTTGACATTTTTTGCGCAAGTCTCACAGAAACAAAACTTAAAACCTCATGGCTAATTTGCATAAACTAAGTGAAGTAAAATGTGGCACGACTCAGCGGAATACAGGTTAGTGTGACCATATTTGCATTTGTCAAAACCAGGACACCGTACGGGGGATGGGAGTTGGGGACTCGTTATTGACATTGCGCTACTCTCACCTGGCAAAACTTTTTCCCACTGGACACCGAAACATATGTGCTTCTTTGTACACTGTGCACATGGACTCACACTTGTCCCGACCCGGATGGAAAGCGTGGAATTTCTTGTACAAGTCATCGTTAAATACACATTTGCACTTTGGCACGTTGCAGGCTGACCGACTGCCTGTGTGTCGCTCTTTCTGAGTGCAGAGAGATACATGTACAGACCCCTGTTTGGTCACGCTACACACAGCAACCTACATTCGGATTGTCGATTAAAATGAACGTAATCGATGAAAGTCTTAATGATCAATTATTGATTAATCGACTCTTCATGCCCATCCCTAGTATATATCAACATTTGTATTTCTGGAATTGAATAGAGCAATAATTACATTCATCAGTCTGGTGTTACTGATGTGAAATTATCCATAAATGTTGACACCGTGTCGAAACGACGGTGAAATCGGTGAAACGAGGGGGTGTTTTTTAAACTTTTAAGCATTCTACCATGTTACAACGTTTCCTCATCAAAACATGCCTGAAGAGGATTTAGATATCATCCATCCATGCAATTTAATGATCTCTCTCAGGCCCTATTGAAACCCTCCCTGTGTTAGCAGTTAAATTACCATCTCTTTAATGAACTGTTCCCAGTGACTTGCATTAACATTGTTTGAGTTTGTTGTCAGCTTTATGAAATCACTTTTTGAATGCTTAACATGAAGGATAAGAACAAAAAAAACATTAAGAGCACTTAACATGTAGATTCACTTTTGCCCTGTCTGACCTGTATTAAAAGTATAATTTTGCATCTAAATTACACATTTTTTATTCATAAGATTATATTGTGACCCAATCCCCGGTCTTGGCTGCACTAGTCAGTGGATCTACCCTATAAATCTCATAAAAAGTAACAGCTGATTCTAGTCCAATGAGATTAATTTGGTCTTCCGATATTTTATGTTATTAGGTTCTTTTTTCAGACCAAAAGTTTAAAGCTAGTGAGCAGTCGAAACTGTCAGGTATGAAAACAAACTCTTGGTCTGAATAAAGAACCTAATCATATAAAACAGCTGATTCTGACCAGCCCCTGCTCTCTGCTTGGGAATGAGATTATTTCACATTTAAAAATTGGGAAACAACCAATTTTTTCAATGCAAATATTTTTGTACTCTGTGATGTTAATTTTGTTTTCTGTGGATTCAGTTCTCAGCTTTAGCTTTTACACTGTTCGAACCTGTTGTTGAACATACAGTTTGTAGAGTTGGGGGAGTTTTTGTTTATTGTTGTTTCATTGGTTTATGATTATTACTGCACAAGGTAAAATGTTGACATTATCTTACACTAAATTACATTTTTGTTTATGTTGCAGGTGGTCCCTCAATGGCAAATGAAACGTAAGTCTGTGCTACTCACACTGCATTTATTCAACTCGTGCAAATCTGAGCAAATAACATGATTTATTTTTTTCCAGACTGAAAAAAAAAGAGGACAAAGTCTTGGTGCCCAAATCAAGTTTCAAAGATATCATTACTGGTAAGATGAATACACTGACAATTACATTTTAAAAACAAAGATTCAGTTCACATTTTGCAGTGTAAATATCACAGACTAGATATTTATTGTAAATTAATAATTATTATAATTGATGACGTTATAATAGCTTCCTAAATAAATGCTGTGTAGATGATCCAGCTCATTACAACAATTCAAATTATGATACAAATTTTTGATCTGATTATTACTATATAAGATCACCTTGCATTTTCCCATATAGGCTTGAGAATCTTTCAACTACTTCCTACCCCCTCCCACTGCCCAAGGTTCCCAAATTTGTTGTTTACAATAAACAAAATATAAAATAATGTATGTTATAGTTTATTACAAAGTACCAGGAAAAAAATATTTGCCTGGGATCCATGATACACACTTAGTTTGGTCACCTTTGAATCTTCTTGAGTTCCGATGGGCTTGATTGACAGGTGGATTAGCAACAAATATGGCTGCTTACGAGGAATTTGTGGATTTCTGCAGAATCAATGAGCAATTTTGTCTCACCTCAGGTTTAGTGGACCAAACAGAAAGGCAAAGACAATGTATAAAAATAAGTTTAAATTTAATAAAGTAAAAAAAAAAAAGATATAATTTAACAAAAGCTCAAATTAGGCAAATTGTTAACAAAAAAGATGGGCCCAACTGGGGTAACTTAAATCAAACTGAACAGAACAAAACTAACCCAACCAGACAAAGTAACAGAGGGGTTTAAATACTTGAGGACCAACTAAAGCTAAACACAAGAGGGAGGAGACACTAAATAACTGACTAAACTCCTAACTTAATCAAAGTTTAAAAAAAGGCAATTATAATACAGAAAATAAGTGATAATAAAGTGACCTTAAAGCAAACTAAACTAACTAACTTAGTAAAACTAAATAGTGCTCCCCCTTTGTGGAGTCCTCGATGGTCTCTCCCGATGCTCCTCCATCCGGTGTTCCAAAAAACAAAAAGGACAAATGTAAGTAAAAAAGTAAAATGCGTGCACTCAAATTAGAATATAAGTGTAAATCAAGGAATTAAATTAAACTATGTGGTGTGTGGTGTAATTAATGTAAATGAAATGAAATTAAATAAAATACTGACACTATGGAGTGGTGGCAGAAGTATTCAGGTGAGATAAATTTTAATTGGTTTGTTAGTGATAGGTGACCAAGGAGCATCACTGAAAAAAACATCTGATTGCTTGCTCATTCTCGACTTGTCGGGCAAAATAAATATAGTATGTTCAATATGTTTTGCTTTTTTGTCCAACAGGTAAAAACATAAACTATCAAGACTTGAAAATGCAACACAGCGTACTCTACCAGGCCTACACCAAACTGTTAGCGGAGGCTCAACAACTACGCACTGACAACGAGAAACTGCGCAACTCCCTCCAAAGTGATTTCTCCAAACTCTCCTACCGCTTTTTAAAATGGGACGCCAAACAGATCAGATTTCTCACCGGACTCCCCTCGGTTGCATTTGACTGGCTTCTTTCACGCATCGAATACAACGTCATCAGAGTTCATCCCGAGTTCAAAGCGGAAGACCACCTTTTGATCGTCCTGATGAAATTAAAAATGGGGCTTTGCGACGACGATTTGGGCTATCGATTCCGAATGAGCGGAGAAATCATCACGGCAATCTGTCAAACGTGGATTCCCACCCTGGCCGTCCTGCTCAGTCCGCTCATCGAATGGCAAAGTGACGACGTGATCCACAAAAGCAAGCCAGACATATTCAAGACGAAATTCAGGAAATGTTGCTGCTTTTTAGACTGCGTGGAATTCGCAGTAGCTACACCCAAAGGCGCCACAAAACACGTCAAGTATTTCGTAAGCACCACTCCGGCTGGGGCCATTTCGTTCCTGGCACCGGGGTTCAACAGGAGTGTTTCAGAACAGCAGGCCTTAAAGATGTCAGGGTTCTTCGAATTGTTTAAAACTCCCAGTCAGATTTTGGCCAGCAGGACTTTTGCGATCAAAGAAGAGCTCGCTAAAATCAGAGTGACCTTACATACTCCAGCCAGGGGATTCACAGCGGACTCGGCAGTGTGGAGCCATGTGAATGTAGTGCTTGGTTGGTGGAAGGACTTTGGAATATTTCAGACGGCTGTACCGGCGTCATACGAGGAGATGATGAATGACGTGGTGATGGCCTGTGCCGCTCTCACAAACTTGAAAATGAGTCTAGTTCCAAACGTCGTCAAAAATCAGAAACGAAAAAGAAAAAGAAAAGATGCTGTGTGAGTTTTGATTTTGTTCGTTTGTTTATTTGTTGAGGTCTGTCTGATTCGTTTAAAGTTACAGTATGTGACGTTCTGGACATGAAACAGTGGAAGGAGAAAGTTAAAACCATATTTAGATTACTTTCCGTGGAGTTAGAGAAGTTGTGCAATATTATAGCCAAAGGAACAACATTTCTGTGGAAACTTGCATTTCCAGACCAAATAAGTCAAGTTTGTGGAGATGAGAGCCTGCTCAGAGTAATTACCAATGTTTTTTATGTGTTTCAGTGCAATAAAAACAACCAAAATGAAAAAAAAAAGAAAAAAACTTACACAAGCAATTTAGTGTAAGTTTCATCTTGTACTGTTGGAGTACTTCTTAAGCTTGTGCACCTGCATCTAGGATAGTATTTTGCTTAAACCAGGCATGTCCAAACTATGTCCCGTGGGCCAAATGCGGCCCTCAGACAATTTTTTCTTGACCCTCAGGTTTCCAGGTGAATTTGCCCATGCCTGCCTTATATCAATTATAAATTAACTTTTTACTGCAAGTTTTTTGAAAAGTCTACCCTGATAAAGTTAATATTTAGTGTGTGGTTTTAAGGATCTTAGCTTGAATAAAGACTGCTGGCTCATTCTAACATGTTAAACATGCACATATTTCAATTATTCACTGTAATGAGCTCCAGTCAACGGCCCTCGATCAGCCCTCTGCTTCGTCTGTGTTTAGAGATGTGGCTCTTGATGAAAAAAGCTTGGACACCCCTGGCTTAAGGTAAAGAAAACTTTAAAGCAAAGGGGTATACTAGTTTAGTATATAATGTCATGTTTTGTTTACAGTTTGTTTATTAAATGCCATTCACTGCATACATTGAATAAGATCATATTTATATTTCCGTCGTGTGTATTTTAATGGATGAGTTCACCTGTTACTTCTGATCTACGCTGGTATTAATTTGTTTAGTGAGTTTTGTTTTAACAGTGCCTCATAAGCCTCGAGTAAAATAAAGATTTTATAATGATTAGTGTTTGATTAAAAAAAAAACAACAAATGAAAAGTAATTGTTTTGTTGGAAATGTTTTGGTTATTACAGGAAAGACCCAGCAGATGGCAGCATGGTCAAGTATTTGAGCACTGCCAACGCCACAGAGTTTCTTAAAGGTGCACTATGTAACTTTTCCTTTGGCGTCCACTGGTTATTGCTTTGCCTGGAATTTCTACAGTACAGCATTAAACTTGCCTCCTCCTAATCTATCTCCACGGAAATAGATTTGAAGAAGATAGATTAGAGCTGCTGCTTTTTGTGATTTTTGTTCTGAAAAAAAGAACAAAGGTGCTGAGCTGCAAGCAGAAGATTTGCTCTTGTAACAGGTTACAAACTCCTTTTTGTTTTTAAAATAAAAGCCAAACAACAGTACCAGTCAAAAGTTTGTTTGGACACACCTTTTTAATATATTTCTCTTCTTTATTTCCATGATTATTTGAATTGTAGATTCTTACTGAAAGCACCAAAACTATAAGTGAACACATGAGACGTAGCAAGCAAAAAATAAACTTAAAATTACTCGTTTGAAATAAAAAATAACCTCATCTACCCTCTCGTTTATCACTGCTTTGAAAGGCACAACTGTGAAGTAAAACACATTTCCAGAGATAACGAGAAGGCCAAAGGTTTGCAGCATTGTCATCTAAACGCAATTTTGTAAATAAAGAAAAGTGTTTGTTGTTTTTCGCAGAAGTCGTCTGAAGCCTGGTGAAAGCAGAAGTTGGTGGAAGTCGCTCATCACCTCTTCACAGGCGACACACATGAGCCACTTCACTTCTTTTAACACTTAAGACTGTTGCTTCTTTGTCTGCAAAAGTAGAAGTATAAAGTAGGTTCAAGAAATTACTCAATTAAGAGTAAAAAAAAATATTTGTAAAGAGTAACTGACATAACATCTGATTTATCATTTGCAGTTAATGTAATTTGAAAGACAAAACAAACAGTGCACAGAATCTGATATTTTCAAAGGATGGACACAGATGAGGAAAAAACTAAATCGTATCTGGAGAAAAGCTGCAAGAAACAAATGTTTAAATCATTTCATATTGTCAACATGAAGCTTTTGCCACTGCAGACTTACTCACAGTGGGAAGAGAACTGTTACTGTTATTAAAAAATATTGCTCAACATATCAAAATGTAAAGGAGATGCATCACAATTTTACAAATATTCATTATTATTATGAGAATTAACCCATAGGAAGCTAAACATACATGATACTAGATTAAATAATACCTAGACAGATGATCTTGTACCCCAATACACTACCTTTAGTAGCCTATTTTTTAGCTATACATTATATAAAAAATGTTCTAGTTCTAGTTTCTTTAAGTAAATGAAAAGAGACAAACCATGTTAATATTTTATTTATTTTTCAGTCAAGTCACACATCTACATTACTATTTGCTTTACAATTACATTGATCTCAACATGACTTGTGTAGGGTTACTAAAACAAAATCTCAAAGCTCGTAACAGTTCAGTGGTGGAAAGAAAATAAAGTAAAAGTACAGCTACATGGCTAATAATGATTCACATCCAAGTACAACTGCCAAAAATGAACTTAAGCAAAAAAGTATGCATGAGAAATACTACACAGAGTAACATTTTCTAGTTAAGTTTTAATACAATTTAGAAGCATTATAGATCCTTTTATACAGAAAGCTATCAGTCAAAAAGTGTAAAACTGTAATCTGTATATTCTCTGAGCTCTGGCCAATCGGAACAGGTGTAGAGCAGAGTTGAAAGGAGCAGAGACATTGTTGAGACAGTACTTGTAACTAATTACAATGACATAAGTACATTATACTTGATTACAAGTGAAAGTACAGCATTAAAAATGTACACAAAAAGTAAAAACACCCCAAACATCTACTCAGTTGTAGTTACTTGAGTATTCGTATTTACTTCCCACGTCTGTTTCTGATTCTTCTGACTTCATTTAAACCTAAAAGTCCATTGTTTGCGTGAGGCCGTGCAGTTGAGTTTACTGAGGCGTCCTGCATTCTTCAGGACAAAGATTTGCTTGCAGTTTCTCAGATTTTGGTAGGAACCTTTTCGCAGTTTCCATTATTCTGAATTTTTCATAAGGAGGAATGAGCACCTCGCGCTCGTGAGGTAATGCCGAATAATCTTTTATGTAAGCGCCTAAGCAGGACGTAATTTGGAAGCATGTCTCTGTACCAAATGTCGTCAGGTTGGCGTTTTTGGAAGTTGAGGTGAAAGAACCAAATCGGATTTCTTGGTTTTTTTGACCTGTAAATGTATCTTTGCTTCTCCGATAGGTGGTACGGCATACTTTGTTAATTCTAAGTATCTGTAAAGCAGAAACCAGCCAGTAGTGTAAAGCGTGGTATTTGAATGCATTAGTGGTATAATTGGCTGCACTGACTCGAACTGCTGCATTAAAGGGTTCATAGACATTAGGCCACGCTGCAGTGTAGACGCACAAAGCTTGGACCTGATCTTTGGTCAGCATCTTGTTCTTTCTTGTATTATATTTGTTATTTGCACAGGACTCTGCTTGCTTCCACGCTTTGCTGAATAACTGATTATTCTTCTTCTCTCTGGGGAAGTACGTCCTCTTGACCTTTTTAGCCATTGCATCACTGCAGCCGTCGTACATGTCGTCAACCGATTGGTCCATCATACTCAGGGGAATTGTGCCAGATTTTTGGGACTCCTAGACAATTTAAGGGGGAAAAAAAAAAAAATACCCAGAGTTTTAAAGGAACTGAACAAGACACAGCCTAACTGTGAACCAGATATGAGGCAGACATGTTCAAATCAAATACAACTTTTACTGGTAACAAGTGGAATTCTGATTTAATTTTCAATTCTCCCCCAAAATTTGACCCATTTATTTGTTGTTTTGGTCATTCAGAAAGCAAAATAAGCCTCACACGAGTCTATCATTTGTGTTGCCAGTTCCAATGCTGAAATCCAGTTTGTTTTAAACCTAAAATGTGTCTCTCTGATCTGAATGGTCACTACCTAAACCCCAGCACTGCAGCCTCTGCAGCTCAGTGTATGTGTCCATATACTGACAATGAGGAGAACTTGTATGTGTCCTCAATCTGCAGGTTAAGGCTCTGACAACTCAGGTTCAGTTGTGATTGTAGTATCTTCAAAAAATAAAATAGAATAAACCTCACCACTGCAGAAGGTAACACCAGGCAAAGCATCAGTGCCAGCACTGTGGTCTCCATGTCTGTGGACTGACACAGAAAGCATAGCATTAAACAATTTAGAAGAGTTAGAGAATAAACTTGATGCTCTTACCTCAAGTCCACTGCAGACTGATGTCTGCAGGTCACCACTTCACTGCTCTTAAATAGGGAAGATTGTTTTCTCATCAATGTAGTGTAATTCCTGGTAGCTAACACCTTCTACATTAAACAGGAACCAAGACTGACATTAGTGTTAACCACCCCACTCATTTTGTTCACTTATGAGATGCACCCACTCTAACCATACAAAAATACTTAACAGTGTTCAGTTTATAAAGTTTTTAGGAGGATAGATAGTGGATCCTCAAATACATCCATGAATATTTAAGGTGCAAGCTATGATCTCTTGTGGTTCTTAGCTTTTTTCCATTTTGGATGTTTTTATTGCACTGAAAAACATGTGCCCTTACACTGGGCAGGCTTGCATCTCCACAAACCTGAATCTCTTTGACCTGAAGGACGGCCTAGTCCTGCTTGTTTTCTTAGAGTTGTTATTGCTGTGGCTTTAATTTTCCACAATATCTGTCTCTGTCTCCATGGAGAATGTTTCAGACATGGTCTTACCTTTCTACAGGAATAAGTGACATGATACCTCCAGAAAGTTACAGTTTTGCTTTAATATATGAAGTCTAAACTGGCTGTGTCCCCTGACAGTAATACACAGCTTCAGATTGTTCTGTGGTTTAGTTTGCTCAACTTTCATTCTCCAGCCCAAAGATTGTCTTACATTCTGTCATTAATTACACACACACAACCAGGCAAATATTTTTTAGTTTATCTCCTGATTTGTCCTTGGTTCTCCTGTAGGTGGTTTGACATGGCTTTTTATTGTTTTCACTAATGATCTGCAGGGCAGAAGTGAGTCAAAAGTGTAAAGCGCAGTATGGGAAGTCCCCACTCATGTAATGAGCTGCTCTGTTTCTGACCATATGTACACTTTTTACATTTTATAGACAAAAGCAAGAGAGTAAATGTATGGTGCCAGACAAATGGAATTATGTAACAAATTGAAAAAAAGTTAAATAACTTAATTAAATATACTTATTTTATTTTAAAATCCTCAACCTTTGCTTTGTTGACAGCGCCGCCAACTCTTGACCTCTCAAGTAGTGTCTGTTTTTGGTTGAAGTCATTTGTCACCTCTTGTTGGTGAGACACATTAACCACTTCTTTTAACACCTAAGACTGATACTGCTGCAGATGCAAGGATATGCTAATGATTACTAAGGTCACTGTAACCTATAAATACATGTTCGCAAACCTCTCGATATCATGAAAGCTGTGACGAACGAAATAAAAAATGTAGGTCTAATGGCAAAAAAATAAAGCTACTTTCAGCCCCGGTAATGACCAAAAGGACAATATCACAGATACAAGAGGTCAAAATGAGTCCAGTTGGGCGCTTCCATAGAGACAGGGTGAGAAGCTTAGTCACACAGGAGGAGCTTGGAATAGAGTCACTGCTCCTCCATGTTGAGAGGAACAGCTGAGGTGACTCAGGCTTCTGGGAAAACTGAAGAAAATGGATCTTCTGATGGTACTGCTGTTACTAATACCAATACTACCTCCAATACCAAAACTACAACTACTGCAATCTAACGCACACACAAGTGGAACTATGTGTGCACAAACACATACATGGATCACACACACACACACACACACACACAAGTGAGATCTACTTGCGTTGATGCAAGACAAGATAACCTATGGCATTGCATCCAGGCAATCGCGAACTATAAGCCCGTGTTAACTACTTTTTACATTTTATAAACAAAAGCAAGACAACAAATACAGCACATGGTGCCAGACATATGGAATTATGTAACAAAGGGAAGCAATAGTTAAAGAGTTATTTATACTTATTTATAGTTAAATATACTTATTTTATTTTAAAATCCTCAAAGTGCCAACCTTTGCTTTGTTGACAGGGCTGCAAACTCTTTGGCTCTCAATTACGTTTATGATGAAGTCCCTTGAAATGGTTTCACGTCACAGTGTTCCATGTCAGGGTTAAGAAATGCCAAGAATGTAAACCAGTGTTCAAGTCAAAGGGTGGTTATCTACAACAGGATTTACATTATTTTCTTTGTTAACTATATGTGTCCATTTATAGTTTAGATGTCTTCAGTGAGAATCTATAATGGAAATAATTTTGGAAATGAAGAAACATTTTTGACCAGTAGTGTCTGTTTTTGTTCACAGAAACAGAAGTTGCTTGAAGTCATTCGTCACCTCTTGTTACACATTAACCACTTCTTTTAACACTTAAGACTGACACTGCTGCAGATGCAAGGATATGCTAATGTTTACTAAGGTCACTGTAACCTAAAAATACATGTTCGCAAACTTATAGTCAGAGGTGGGGAGAGTAGCCAAGTAGTACACAAGTAAGAGTAACTTATCTTTAAATAATATTACTCAAGTAGAAGTAAAAAGCAGGTTCAAGAAATTATTCAAGTAAGACTAAAAATGTGATATAAAAACTTATTTGTGATATTTAAAAAAAAAAAAAAAAACAGTCAAAAAAGATCCAAGGCACTGTGCTGTAAATATAATTAAAGCTCTTTATTGGTTACATGGAACAGGTAAAAAAGAAAATAGTGTAGTAAATATAGTAAAAGAAGTACCTGGAAGAATTACTACTCAATTAAGAGTAATTTTGAGAGCATAACATCTGATTTATAATTTGAAGTGAATGTGATTTGAAAATATCAGATTTTGTTTGTGTTTTTTCCTTCAAAGAATGGACACAACAATGAGAAAATCATCTGAAGGAAAGGTGCAAGAAACATGTCCATGAAATGTTCAAATAATTTAATATTGTTAAAAAATTACATTTGCATTAGTCTTATGGCCTAATTTCAATTCAGCCTTATTAAAATCTAGTTGAATTTAGCTTTTAGCTTAGTTGCCTTGCAGTTGAGATTGCGTACAGTCCACCAAATCTTTTAGGGATATGCAGTACCGGACCGTACTGTTGTCGAAGTTTTCAGATTGTCCAAGAAAGGGTGGAAGTAAAAGGCTGGAGACCAACTGGAAGTCTTACATAGGAGAAGTTTATTTACCATCAATAATACAGTCCCAGGGGACTTGAAAAGTCAACATAGTATGATTTCAAAAGTGAACATAGTGTGATCTTTGAGTGTTCAAGCCCCTTTTACTACACTTCCAGGCGAGGAGGTTGATAAAGCAAGTGGTGAGACTGTGAAGACAGTAGACACCAGTTACACAGCAATATGCCACAGTTTAGATACTGGTGTGTCAATGGTTTGCCAAGGGGAGATCATGGTGTAAAAATAGATTTTGTGAGTCAATGTTAAACTGAGATTTACGTGGAAGATAAATTACTTAAATTCTCTTACACGTACCGGCTTACTTTCACCTCTGTCATTAACCACAGTAATGATAATACAATTATGTCATGATTCCACTACAACATCACCATGAAGTGCACAATAAAAGTGAAATAATACACACCAGAACTCATATAATTAACAGTAATAATAATAATAATAATAATAATAATAATAATGATAATGATAATAATAATAATAATAATAATAATAATAATAATAATAATAATAATTTTGGGGAGTTACAGGTTATGAGGAAAATGTGATCTTTGAGCTGTTTTTTGAAGGTGTTTAGTGAGTCTGAGTTTCTGATGTGGAGGGGGAGAGAGTACTGGGGAGGCAATGGCAAAGGCTCGGTCCCCCAAGGTCTGGTGCTTTGATCTGACTGTGGAAGTGAGGAGGTTTGAGTCGGCTGATCAGAGTCTGCAGGACGGGTGGAGGGGCTGGAGGAGGTCAGTGAGGTGTGGAGGGGTCTGGTTATGGAGGCCCATGATGTGCTTATGACTTGAGTCTAAACAAAACCAGTTGGGCTCATAACAGAACAGAAGAGTCTGTGATGGAGTATGTGAAAATTTTTCCCAAAACTGAGATATTTTTGCTTCTTTTCTTTCTTAGAAGCTGGGGTTCATCAGACGCTTCGACTTTCCCAGAATCACATACTAAAACGCTGATTCTGCCAATATCACTTCACGTATTTATTTATTACCACAGCACAGTGCTCATTTCTGTGTTTTCTAAAGGTTGACACTTTCACCCCAAACACTGTTCTCTGATCAGTGTTTGGGGTTAAGCCTTGCTTCCTTGCAGCATTTAATTATCATTATGAAATATGATATGGCACTTACAGCTCTTTAGAGATGTTTTTTGTTATCAAAAACCCAATAAATATGGCTTTGAAAGATAAAGATAAAATATTTTATTAACTTAAGTTAATTAACACATACAACCCTTACATTCTTGAAGAATCAAGGTCATGTTCTCTCCTTAATGCTTTAGAGTTTCGATGCCTCAAAGGCCTTTTGGTTTGGTTGGTTTAAAGGTGCAGTACCCATGGGAAAAAAATGGTTAAAGGCCCTTTAAATTAATTTAAATTTGTTTTCTGAATAAATTTCACTACATTATCTCAGTCACCATACTGTTTTTTACACATTTTCCAAGTGCAGGTTACTCCATATTGCTTTGTAAATATGAACTAATGCTTTCTTCAGGGTAATGCACAATACAGAGATGCAGAGGTGGACAATACACAATCCAGCTTATATGAAGTGGAAAAGAAAGTACACAGTTACACAAAGTATTTCTATAGTCAAATACAGAAAGAAAGGTTGCGTTCATTTCATTTTTTTCTCGATACTGAAAGAACATAAGTGAAACTAGCGTAAAGGTTTGTGTGAGTAAACAGTGATGCTCTGACAGTACCACGTAAATGTTTTTTTTTTTTTTTTTCCAAGTGCAAAACCCCATCATGGTCTTGTGTATTTAAGGGCAGAGCAGTGGTGACCTGCAGACAGAGAGCAGACTGGACCTGAGGTAACAACAGCAAGTTTATTCTTATAACCCAGATATGTTGTTTTACATTATTCTTTGTGCTTTAGTTCACAGACATGGAGACCACAGTGCTGGCTTTGATGCTTTGTCTGGTGATGACTTCTTTTCCAACGGTAAGGGTTTTTGATTCAAACTCTTAAGATATTTGGCTTATTTGATTTCTTTCTAAAATTATCGAGGAGTCCAGACAATTTAACCAAAATCCTCTGTTTGATTCTATATATTTATTTAAAGAAACTGTATGTTGTCTGCAGTCTTACAGTTTGAACTGAACACAACTGAACCTGGGCTTTAATCTGCAGATTGAGGACACATACAAGTTCTCCTCATTGTCAGTATATGGACACATACACTGAGCTGCAGAGGCTGCAGTGCTGGGGTTTAGGTAGTGACCGTTCAGATCAGAGAGACACATTTTAGATTTAAAACAAACTGGATTTCAGCATTGAAACTGGCAACACAAATGAGACACTCATTCCACTTTCTGATTGGGTAACCATCTTTAGAACCAAAACATGATGTCCAATTTGGTTGTAATTAAGAATGAATCATTACAGTTGTTCAGTAAAAGTTGTGTTTGGCTTGAACATGTCCAGTTACAGTTAGGTCATGTTTATGGAATTCAATATAAAACTCTTAAATATCTCAGTTTAAGAATTATAATTTATTTGATCTCTTTACTCTTAAATTGTCCAGGAGTCTGCCATAATTCCCCTGAATATGATGGAGAAATCGGTTGATGACATGTACGACGGCTGCAGTAAAGAAATGGATGAAAAGGTCAAGAATGAATACTTCCCCAGAGAGATGAAGAATAATCAGCTATTCAGAGATGCATGGAAGAAAACAGAGTCTTGTGTAAATGACAAATACAACAAGGACAAGGCCTTGACCAAAGATCAGGTCCAGGCTTTAGGCGTCTACACTGGAAATGACGTCTATGGACCCTTTAATGCAGCGGTTCGAGTCAGTGCAGACAAATATACCACTAGTGCATTCAAATACCACGCTTTACACTATTGGCTGACTACTGCTTTACAGACTCTTAATAATAACAAAATATGCCGTACCACCTACAGGAGAAGCCGAGATACATTTACAGGTCAACTCGACCAAGAAATACGTTTTGGTCAATTCGCCTCCTCTTCAGTCAGTCCTGATGTGGTAGAATTTGGTAATGAGACTTGCTTTCAAATTGAGACCTGTTTAGGCGCTCCCATCAATGAATATTCATGCTATAGTACTGAGGATGAGGTGTTAATCCCTCCCTATGAGAAATTCAAGATTATGAAAATTGTGCAGAAGTCCTATGAACAGTTGGAAAATTGTACAACGATCTTTGTTCTGAAGCCTGTGGGGCACAAGACGAACCTCAACTGCAAGGCTGCATATGTGCAAGCCTGGTTCAGAGCCATAAAAAAAAGAAATTGAAAATGTTTTAAACTCAATTAAGCATTTTTCCCCTGAGTGTTAGCAGTGTAACATTTGTACAAGAGCTGGCTGAAACTGATTCTCACTTTTGAAAAGAACCAAATATTTAACTTTTCAATTTTTATGCATTTTTACCCTGAACCAACACAAGAATCAGCACAGAAGTAGACGCTTTTTAAAAACTTTTTTTTTTTTTTATAGGTGAAGTGGTGCACTCTTCAAATCATATGAACTAAACTCAGTGTTACATCTTTACATTTTTTTCTTCAGTTTGTTTTCAATTACGTTCATGAGGAACTAAACACAAATCTTTTTGCTTTAACTGTGCATATTGTGTTTTAATAACATTATCTAGTGCTTTTTTTTTTTTAGTGTTGCATACTACATTTGCAGCTTTTCTGGTCAAAAATGTCTAAATCTAAGTGTAACAGAAGCTTCCACATATAACATGCCATTAAAGATCTTTTCCTTGTCTTAATTTCCAGTTTCATTTAATTAAATACCTAATAAATGAATAAATCATCATTATCGCCATATCAGATTTATCTCTACATGAAACATCCTACAACAGTATTTTAAAATGCATACGAAAAGTTGATTTTAATATTGTCAACATAAATCCAAGCTGAAAACAGTTTACAATAGTTTAGCTGCACATATAACTGAATGGTTTTTATTCTTCATTCTGCATTCTTCTCTCTCATTTAATGTCTTGCTCTCTTTTTCTTTTTTGATGATTATTTATGTTTTGATTTATTTGTATTCTGATTTTTATGTATTTCTTATTCTGTAAAACATTTGAATTACTTTGTGTATGAACTGTGCTATACAAATAGATTTGCCTTGCATTAATGTTAAAATGCATCAGAAGTCTGGTGTGAAGAGGAAAAAATTGCTTGGCTCTGATTTGAACATAATATAATAACATACCTGATGTACATTTTAAATTTATTAGGCTATTCATTTTACCCAAATCATATTGTAACTGGGTGTATGTGTCTGAAAGCTGCAACAGGCAATTTAAAAGATATAGGCCTAATACCAGCCAAGACATAAAGCTACTTTCATCCTTAGAAATGACCGAATGGACAATATCACAGATACAAGTGAGTAAAATGAGTTCGGCTGGGTGCTCCCATAGAAACAGGGCGAGAAGCTAAGTCACACTATTGGAGCTCAGAATAGAGTCGCTGCTCCACCACGTGGAGAGGAGCAGCTGAGGTGGCTCAGGCATCTGGTCCGAATGTGTCCCGGATGGAGGTATTATGTTTCTCGGTTGACCTAGGAACCCCCTGGCTGACCCCTTGGGTTACCCCAGGAGGAGCTGGAGGAAGTGTGTGTGGAAAGGGATGTCTGGGAGTCTCTGCTCAGACTGCTGTGTTTGCCCCCTGGGCCTGGATAAAGCAGAAGAAAATGAATGGATCTGGTCCAATTCATTTATTAGGATCTTCTTCTGATGCTACTGCTGTATACCAATACCGATACCAATACTAATACTACCTCCAATACCAAGACTAGTGATGGTGAGATGAAGCCCCATGAAGCACTGAATCGTTCCATCCATTTGCTCAACTCTTGAACAGATGCTTCAAGATGCTTCATTTGCTCCACTGCGCCATCAAGTGGCCAAAAAATGTATAACAGGCAGAGTGAAAATAGAACAATCAACATGATCATCATGGTTCTGATGGAAAGATTTATACTGAACAAATGAATGATTAAATACTGTTGTATCCAAGATGCTTGGAACACACCAAACACTTCACCTGATTTTTTGTTTTTTTTCTTACAAGAAATATACTAGATCAGGGGAAACACTGTTGTCAATTTTGTGTATTTAGTAATATTATTTATTTAATGGAGTCATTATTACTATATACCTTATTAGGAGATTTCAGCTCAAAATGTTCCCAGAATCTCAAATAGAATGTACCAAACTCACAATAACCCAAAACCATAAAATGTGAGGGGGAGTCCATTGCGATTCACTAGCCTTTATGTTTCAAATCACACTGACAGTTCACGAAGCTTCGAACGTCACCACATATGTTACCGATACAAGCCTTGATATGCACTTCACCAAAGCCTTCCTGGATTAATTCACACACGCTTTAAAGCCAAGACACAGAGGACACATCACTTGCTACAACTATTACTGCTACTAAAACACACACAAGTGGAACTATGTGTGCACAAACACCTACAGATGTGGACAAAATTGTTGGTACCCTCTGGTAATGAAAGAAAAATCAACAAGGGTCACGGAAATAACCTGAAATTAAGAAAAGTAATAATAAATAAAAATTTCCTGACAAATAATCAATGAAAATCAGACATTGTTTTTGAATTGTTGTTCAACAGATATATATATATATATATATATATATATATATGTATGTATGTATATGTATATGTGTGTATATATATATATATATATATATATATATATATATATATATATATATATATATATATATATATCTTGGTTTAAAAATTATAATTTATTTAATCTCTTTCCTCTTAAATTGTCCAGGAGTCTGACATAATTCCCCTGAGTATGATGGACAAATCGGTTGATGACATGTACGACGGCTGCAGTGAAGCAATGGCTAAAATGGTCAAGAATGAATACTTCCCCAGAGAGATGAACAATAATCAGCTATTCAAAGCTAAGTGGAAGACAACAGAGTCGTGTGCAAATGACAAATACAACAATAGAACGAACAGGGCCTTGACCAAAGATCAGGTTCATGCTTTAGGCGTCTACACTTCAGATGACGTCTATGGACCCTTTAATGCAGCGGTTCGAGTCAGTGCAGACAAATATACCACTAATGAATTCAAATATCATGCTTTACACTACTGGCTCGTTTCTGCTTTACAGACACTAAATATTAACAAAACATGCCGTACCACCTACAGGAGAAGCAATTGTACATTTACAGGTCAACTCGACCAAGAAATACGTTTTGGTCAATTCGCCTCCTCTTCAGTCAAGTCTGATGTGGTCAAATTTGGTAATGAGACTTGCTTTCAAATTGAGACCTGCTTAGGCGCTCCAATCAATGAATATTCGTGCTTTAGTGATGAGGATGAGGTGTTAATCCCTCCCTATGAGAAATTCAAGATTATGAAAATTGTGCAGAATTCCTATGAACAGTTGGAAAATTGTACAACGATCTTTGTTCTGAAGCCTGTGGGGCACAAGACGAACCTCAACTGCAAGGCTGCATCTGTGCAAGCCTGGTTCAGAGCCATAAAAAAAAGAAATAAAATTTTTTTTTATTTCAATAAAACTCAATTAAGCACTTTTTACCTTGGCTCGTAGTGGTGTAACATTTGTACAATAGTTGGCTGAAACTGATTCTCACTTTTTTAAAGAACCAAATATTTTTCTGTTAAATTTTTATGCATTTTTACTCTGAACCAACACAAGAATCAGCACAGAAGCAGACGCTTTTTAAAAACATTTTTTATAGGTGAAAGGGGTTTTCTTCAGTTTGTTTTCAATTACTTTCATGAGGACAAATGTAAAGTGGAACTAAACATAAATCTTTATGCTATAACTGTGTATATTGTGTTTTAATAGCATTATCTTCTGTTTTTTGTTGTTGTTGTTGTTTGTTTGTTTGTTTTTTACTACATTAGTGCAAACTAGATACATTTGCAGCTTTTCTGGTCAAAAATGTCTAAATCTAAATGTAACAGAAGCTTCCACATATAACATCCCATTAAAGACATAAAAAAAAAAAAATAAAAGGCTTATAAAAAGGTGGTCTTTTCCTTGTCTTAATTTCCCGTTTCTTTTCGTAAAATACGTAATAAATGAATAAATCATCATTATCACCATATCAGATTTATCTCTACATGAAACATCCTACACTAGTATTTTAACATGCATGTGAAAAGTTGATTTTAATATTGTCAACATAAATCTTCTTTCATTTGTGTTTCTTGGAGCACTGTTTCAGATATGAGTGGCTCTTTCATTTGTGAAGTTTACGCTTTAATCACATTTTGCATTACTTAATGTTAGATGTTTATAAATCAGTGAATTACAATTACTGTTACTTTTACTTTGTGTTTTTTTACAAATACATTTGTGTTTAATCCCTACTTATAATTTTACTTGTAATATTAATTCAAAGTACTTAGCCTACATGAATCAAATGTTTGGCGACTCTACCAACCTGTTTATGAAGCCAGAACAGTGACAGCATTTCAAAGAAGAAATGTTTTATAAATTAAAGCTACACGTGGTGTTATAGGCCCTCACCATCCCTTGTGAGGGCAAAGATTCTGCCTATCGTCCCTGCCTACATCACCCCATCACCAAACACTCAGTGTATATGTGTTCAATCCAATAAGACCATTTCTGACATTACCACATCTGCAGTCATGTGACTTTGTCCCACTGTGCCCCATCCCAAGTCAAGTCTCATTTCAGAACCTCGGACAGCTCCATGTGCAAATACTCCACACTGCTGACTTCTGCTGGATCTTTTCTTCAACTCTCAAAACATTTTCAGGGATGTATTTGATTTTATTGGATTGAATGGAGTAACACATATATACACTGAGTTTTTATTTATTTATTTATTTATTTATTTATTTTTTTTAATTTATGAAACATTTCTTCTTCTAAATGCTGTCACTGTTCTGGCTTCATAAACAGGTTGGTAAAGTCACCAAACATTGGATTCAAGTAGACTTAGTACTTTGAATTAATATTACAAATAAAATGATTAGTAGGGATTAAAAACACATGTATTTGCAAAAAAAAAAAAAAAAAAAAAAAACACTAAGTAAAAGTAAGAGTAATTGTAATTTTTGACTCTGACAAATACTTTATAAATATATTACCACAGGTCCTACCAAGCACAGTAATACTTAGAAAAAAAACAACAAATAAAACAAAAAAAAACAACAACATTCATATGCACTTTAAAACTTAAAAAAAAACTTTACTGGTGTAGGATGTTTCATGTGGAGATAAATCTCATATGGTGATAATGACAATTTATTTATTTATTGGGTATTTAATTTTATTTATTTTATTTAATGAGACAGGGACAGTGCACAATTTTTACATT